GCTGTTTGGTCTAGAACAATTCTGCCATCTCCCTGGGCTACAAGCCGACGCTGACCTAGGATCCTTTGTGGTGGGTGAAATCTGAGCAGACAGACAGCTGGTGTTCGGGAAAACCTGGAGTTTCTGGGGCACACTGGTTCACAGCCCTGTGGGGCTGGTCAGTTTCATGTTGTCCCCTCCTCTGAGTGCCTCTCGCAGGGTAATGTTCAAGTTCTGATGTGACAAGATGCCCCTCTGGGCCGATGGCTCCTGCTCTGAAATTCAGGAGCTGAAACAGACTGGATACATTGCATTTTAAATCCATCCAGGATCTGGGGATGTGGTTCAGTAGGTAGAGTAGGTTCAATTCCGAGCACCACATAGATCAGGTGTGTTGATACACACTTGTAATCGCATCACTTGGTAACTGAATTGGAAGACCAGGAGTTCAAGATCATCCTTGGTACATATTGAGTTTGAGGCCAGCCTGGTCTATATGGGACCCTGTCTCAAAACTGGAAACCAAAAAAGCTCCATCAGAACACAAGGTCACCCTGAGGCCTTTGGGGACACAGGAGAAGGGTGACAGACTGGAGCCATCTGTAAAGATCCTAGTGATAAACAGGGAAAGGAACAAGTTCCAGGCACCTGTGGTTTTGGGGGACTCTTGTCACATCCAGCAGCCATCTGCCATATCCCCCCTACCAAGCTGTGAGTGGAGGAGGTGTCTATAGGAAGGGGGAGGTGTCATGATCCTCAACCAGATGGCTCTCCACCATCTTTCCTTCCTTTTTCACTCCAAGCAGGACATTAGAGAGAGAGAGAGAGAGAGAGAGAGAGAGAGAAGAGAGAGGTGAGCCTGCCACCTTTGACCTTCAGGACCCAGTGTCTGAGCAGAAGGAAACTCCATTCCTCCATGATGCCACTGGTAGGTGACAATAATTGGTCACTCAGCTGTCAGCTCATCTGATCCCTACACCCCATCTCTGGGAACCAACTTTATAGACATGAGGCCTGAAGACATTCAGTGACTTAAAGTCATACAATGGGAAGAGGCAGGATTTGAACTTGGGATCCCCCAAAGAATGCCTTCTGTAAACACATCAAGGCACCTCAGCAGTGAGGTGTGCTACCTGTCACCAGGCAGCTCCAGGACCATCTAGCCTGTGACAGGCCAGTGGCTGACTGACATCAATCGCCCTGTGGTGGGCTTCCTTCTCTACTGGGAGAGCCACCTAGAGGCCTCTCGGGACAACCAGTCCTCCTCTCTCTCCCCATCTCTCCCAGTCCAAAAAGCACATGAGGAAGGACTCCGGGCCCCTTCCAGAACTTTCCAAGAAGGTCAAGGAGCAGCTGGCTGAGGCAGAGCTACGGAAGCTCAGGCAGCAGTTCCACAAGATGGTGGAGAGCCGCAAGTCCTTCAACTTCCACAACCAGAGGATGATCGCCAACCAGTAGTAAGAGGGGCATGTGGGGCACTGTGGGGAGTGTCAGGCACAGCAAGGGGTGACCTCTCAGGCTCTCGGGCGGCTCATTCTTCTCACCCTCGCTGGGGACCGGTGGCATCTTATCCTGACTCTCTAGACCTGGCTTCAGTGGGAGGCCACTTTATGATGATGGTCCAGAGGGTCTTGGGGACCCCGGAGGACAGGTGTCAACCAGGCCCTGTCTGTCTCCCAGAGCTGCCAGACCTTCATCAACCAATCCCAGTCCCAGGAGAGGGGGACTCTGAATGGCTCAGGTGGCTACTCCTGTCCAACCAGCTGTGACACGGGGGCGGAGCCAGAGGATGCACAATGGGAGTGGCTATTTTGCAGACATACCAGGAAGTTGGGAGTTCCTATGCTCTGACTTCAGCCTGTGGAGCTGTCACGCCCAAGTGCTTTCCATTTGAGTGGCCTTGTGGGAACTGCAGAGCCTTTGAAATTGGGCTGTCCTAAAAACGGGGCTGTGCAGGGACCTTTGTGCAAGACAGTTGTTCCCTGGAGTTGAATAAACAAGCTCTGAACGGGTATTCCTGGATGTCCTCCACGGAAGTGTAATTCCTTAGCCACATCTGTAATGCTTGCAAAGCAAAAACTGGCCTTAGCAAAGAGATTCCCACATTAGAATAGGCGTCAAGTTCAGAGGAGGCAGAGGAAGGGGTCTTTATGTTTCTACAGAGCCATTTACTGAGGGCTGGCCTAGTCCCTTGGAGACATCCCTGTCCATTTTAGCACTTACTGCCATCTGTTGGAAAGCAATCATTATATAGACCCCGGAATGAGTGTCTCTTCAGGGAAGATGGCAAACCAGTAAAGGTGAAGGCACTCGCTGCCAAGTCAGATGACCTGAATTCCATCTCATGGTGAGAGAACTGACTCCCACAAATTGTCTGCTGACTTCCACATGCAAGATGTGACATGCACAAACCCACAGACATACAGACACACAGACACCACTCCCCCCACACACACACACGCATAAATAAATGTTTGGTTGGTTGGTTGGTTGGATTTTGTTTTCATTTTTGTTTTGAGACAGGGTCTCCCTGTAGGCCCAGCTGTCCTGGAACTTTCTATGTAGCCCAGGCTGTTCTCCATCTCACAGAAATCCACCTGCCTCTGCCTTCTGAGTTCTGGAATTAAAGGCATGCCCAACACCTGGCTAAATTTTTTTTTTTAAGGAAATAAAAAGTCTTCCAGAAACATGAAATAAAACAAGTCAGCAATATTTGTTGGTGTTCCTGGGAATCTGTAGTCCACAACCCACACATCTGTCCATGCCTAACATCCTGTTTCTTAACCTGTGCCTTGTGGACGTGAGGAAATGCTTCTTTCCTGGTTTCTCTCTAAGCCAACCCATGTGATTTAGAGTTTCCTGGCTGGAAGAGTGGAGATTTAATAGGGCGGGAACCGGGTAAAGTGTCTGGGTGCAGTACTTAAGGATGCTTGGTGTTCATAGAAGCACAGTATTTAAGGAAGTACTTTTCCCGGCTGGAGGGCTGACCCTCCAGCTAAAAGCAGGTACTGCTCTTGAAGAGGACGAGTTTGGTTCCCAGAACCCACATCAGGCACCTTAACTAAAACTTACACTCTGAGTGTGAGCACCTCCTTAAATTTCAGGGCCTTTGTTCCCTTCACCCAGGCCCAGCCCTGCCTACAAAACAGACATCTTTTATCCTAACCATGTCCCTCTGTCAACTGTCTCTCATTTTTTCTTCCACCTTAACAAAGTTCCCCTCAGGGAGGGAGCTGAGAAAGGAGAAAAGTCCTAGCAGCCCCTGAGAAGCCTAGCTGCTCTCTTCAGTAGCTACATGTGGCCACTGAAATTGTAGTGGACTAAATAAAATGAAGAGTTTGGCTGTCAGGTCACACTGGGACTGGCTCAAGGGCTCGCTAGCCTCGTGAGCTGAGGTGGATGTTCCAAATAGTTCAGGAATGAGCATTCCTATTCTTGCCCTTGTAGATCATTCCACTGCGCAATGTGATCCACAGTCCATGGCCAACTGGTGTCTGTTTCTATAAATAAAGTTTTATTGGCACAGCCAAGTGAGTCCTGTCCCCATAGCCTATGGTGACTCTCCCACTCTGAGATGAATTGAGGAGTTCCATGGGGACCTTGTAGCTCTCAAAGCCTAAATATTTACTCGGTCTTTTAATAGAAGTCTGCTAACCCTTGTTCTAGAATGCTCTTTAACAAAAGAAGCAACACTCCCAACAACTGAATGGGCATGGCTCACTTGAGGAGCTTGTTAGGAAGCAGGGAGGGTCCTGGTTGGGGTCTGAGATCCTGGGCTCCTCTAAGCTTCTACTCATGCCGTGGGCACTGGTTTGCAGGCCATACCATCAGTGTCAGATACCCAGACAGCTCCAGAGACCTACCTCCCTGCCCTGGCAGGGGTTCAAGATTACTGCATGGCTCTGTTGCTGCAAACTTGAGTGTCCTGCCTGCCTGTGGGCTTGTCTCATGGCCAGGGAGAAGTGGCTGGGAATCTTCAAAGCTGGCTACAAAATCAGACCGGTCTGCCAGCCTTGTCAGAATGCATGACCACACCTTGCTTGGTGATATTGTGTGTGTGTGTGTGTGTGTGTGTGTGTGTGTGTGTGTGTGTGTGTGTTTAGGTACATGTATGGAGGTAAGGAGGTTAGAGGACAACTTGGAGGAGTCAGTTCTCTCCCTTCCCCATGAAAGTTCCAGGTTCATGTTGTCAAGCATGGTGGGAGCTTTTACCCATTGAGCCCTCTTGCTAGCCCCCACCTTGTTTTTAGAGACAGGGTCTCTCATTGATCTGGAGCTCAGTGAGTAGGCTAGGCTGGCTGGCCCCAGGGATCTACCTATTTCCCACACCTCTCCAAACTGGGATTACAAGCACATGTGGCCATGCCTGGCTTTCTACCTTAGCTGAAATTCAAGTCCTTATGCTTACACAGTAAACACTCCCCAGCCCCTCAGGGGTGGGTTTTGACAGCATGGGGGCAACCATTCCCTGGAAAACATGCATCCCTCAGGGAAGGTGACACAGGGACGTGGCAATGACTGAGGCCAGGGCAGTGGGGTTCCAGATCTGAACCCTTGGAAAGGCCTTTTTCCCTTGCCTGGGTGAAGCCATCTCCCAGGCTCCTTTGGAGCTGGGCGCCCTGAAGGTTCTGTGAAAGCAGTTTAGGGGCTGCAAGGCTAACCCAGAGCTGCCTCCCCACAGCAAGGAAATCGAGAATCTGAAAGCTGAGCAAGAGGAGACCACCCTGCTTCTGAGCCTCGTGAAGTCCCCGAAGAACCTGGATCTGAACCAGAAGAACTACATGGAGCTGCGCTTCCTGCTACAGACTAAGGGGGACTATGAGGCACTTAACACGTCCATGAAGATGCTGCTGGTGGAGCTGGATGACAAGGTGAGGCTTCCCTGGGAGGCTGAGTGGGACCAGAGCAAGGGGCCAGGGATGGCGAACTGTGTTGCCCTAGGCAGAACCAGACACAGTATGGGATCTCAGTTCCATCAACTTCTCTCCTTGCCCCTGCCACCTCGAGGATCAAACTAACCTGTGTATCTTTGGTATCAGCCAGTATGGGCAAGGTTTTGCTTCAGTAACAAAGATCACCCTCAGCTTCAAACAGCGCTGGTTACTCCCTCATTTGTGCTGTGCATGGGTTAGTGAGGGGTCCCATATCTTCTCATTCTGGGACTAGGCTGATGGAGTAGCATCCCTCGAGAACATTGACAGGTATTATGGCAGGAGAAGAGGGTTCTAGAAGGTCTTGTGTTGGCCAGTGAATACATATGTCACTTCTGAGCATGACTCATTGACTCAAAATTGTTGGGAAACCCTGCTGTTAGGGTTGTAGTCCTCCATGTCTGGATAGCTCTAAGGGGCTCAGCGCCAAATGAAAGGACTCCCCTTTTCAGCAGGGGGCATCCTGCTCTCTTCCTGACTTACCTGGAAGTGCCACCAAGCACAGATGCCTGACCTTATTTGGAACATGACCTTTGGCATAGTTACCTGGAGTAAAAACTATCCCCAGGTTTTTTCTAACAATAATCAGGCATTGCCTGGTAGTCGGATGATAGGAGCCTACTGCCACATGTAATAAAGCACACTATGAGCACCTATCAGCTGAGGCATTGGCTACTGCCTCCACACTATATTTTCCCTAGTTCTCCCACTGAATAAACAGAGCTGTTTCACTGAATCTGGAGCTGTTTGCATTGTTGAACATGCCTCCCCGGAAGGGCTTTCTTCCGTCAGTGCTCACTGGCCATCCTGACCCCACTCATCCCTTCTGCTCCCTTTGTCCTTGTGGACCAGTGGCCAACGACCCATGAGGAGAGGGAGTGACCCCACACAAAATAGTCACTGTACTCCACACACCTAAGTGCAGCCCTGCTCACATACAAAAGGCAGAGCTAAGACTTTCTGGTGGTGCTGACCATGTCTTGCTTTGGCCTCCTCTCCCTCGCTATGCCCCATCTCTCCCCTTAAGAGGCAGAGTCCTTGCTCTGCAACCTTGTGTGCTTGGCAGTATGTGACTTGATTTGTTTTTTAATTTTTAAAATTATGTTTATTCCTTTATTGGGGGGGGTGGTGTGGGTGTGCACATATGTGTGCCATGAAGCATGTATGGAGGTCAGAGGACAACTTAAAGGAATTGGTTCTCTCCTTCCACGATGTGGGAGCCAGGAATCAAACTCTAGTTGTCAGGCTTGGTGGCAAGTGTGTTTACCTGTTCAGTCATCTCTCTGGCCTGGTGACTTATTCTTTGACTTTACAGGGTTTATAGTGAAGAATTTTTTGTCAACTTTTAAATAATACTGGGACTGTAAAGGATGATGGGGACTTTGAGCATTGGAGACTAGATGCATTCAGCATTGGGTGATGGACCTGAGTCCATGAGGACTGGGATGGAGTGCTGTGGTTTAAAGGGATCTGACTGAATGTCATGTTGATGAGGAGCAGACATGTGATGGTTCACCTACCCTTCAACTTGACTAGAATAAGAAGCACCTAGGGCAGCTGGGTATGGTGTCCCAGGCCTTTAATCCCAGGCAGAGGCAGGTGGATCTCTGTGAGTTTGAGGCCAGCCAGGGCTATGTGGTAAGACTCAGTCCCAACAACCAAACAAAACAAAACAAAAACCAAACAAGAAGAAACCCCTACGCACACCTCTGGGTGTGTCTGTGAGGGTATTTCCAGAGAGGTCTACTAGAGGAAGGAAGACCTACTCTGAACATGTGTGACTAGATTCCCAGACTGAAAAAGAAAAAAGAGAAAGCAAACTGAGCACCAGCTTCCACAGTACTCTGCCTCCTGACCTGGCCATCCATTCCTATGGTCCTGCCTTCTTCCCCCGCTCACCATAAGGGACTGGATTGAAACTGTGAGCCAAAACAATTCCTCTCTTGGTCACAGCAAGGAGAAAAGGAACAAATACAGACCTGTAACCCCACAATTAGGAACATTTGAGGCTACCCTGGATGGTCATCAAAACTAAGAAATTGGGCTGGCGAGATGGCTCAGCAGGTAAAGTCATTTGCCACCATGCCTGACAACTTGTTTGATCCCTGGGACATACATGGTGGAAGAAGAAAACCAGCTCCCACAAGTTGTCCTCTGATTTCCACACATGAACACACACACAAAGAGCTAAGAGGCTGGAGTGGAGAAATTATTATTTTATTGTTACTGTGTATACATGATTTGTGGAGGGAGGTACCCATGTACAGGTCAGAGGACAACTTGTGGGAGTCAGTTCTCCTTCTACCTGGGTGTCCTGGGGATGAAACTCCGGTTGTCAGGCTTAGTAACAGGAGCTTTAATCCGCTGAGCCCTCTCACCAGCCCTGGTTTTCTTATTTTGATTCTCCTTATCCAGCTCACACAGAGGCAGCTTCTAGACCACCAGATGTGTGTTTGCTGCATTTCCGGTGTATGGGAGTAGCCCCTCCTACACGGCTCTGTGTGTCTGCTGCTTTTGTTCAATACAGTCTGTCAGCTCTCTCTCTCTCTCTCTCTCTCTCTCTCTCTCTCTCTCGCCCAGGCTGATCTCAAACTCATGATCTTCCTACCTCAGTCTGAGGGTGCCAGGATTACTGTTCTAGCTTGCTTTCTGCTTCTGTGATAAGCACTGTGACCAAAAGCAACTTGGGAAAGAAAGGGTTTATTTCACCTTAAACTCCCAGATCACAGTCTATCTTCAAGGGAAGTCAAGGCAGGAACTCGAGACAGGAACTGAAGAAGACCATGGAGGAATGCTGCTTGCTGGCTTGCTTCCCCTGTTTTGCTCAGCTACCTTTCTTATACAGCTCAGACCCACCTGCCTAGGGATGGCACCACCTGTAGTGGGCTGGGCCTTCATATCAACCAGCAATCAAGAAAATGCCCCACAGACATGCCCACAGGCCAGTCTGATGGAGGGAATTCCTCAGCTGAGGTGACTCTAATTTGTGTCAAGTTGACAACTAACCAACACACAGGTGTGTGACACCATGCCTGGCCTCCAGCGCCTGCTTCCATTAGGAAATAAATATCCTGTTACCATCCTCAAGTGTGAGTCATGGAGGATCTCATCTTTTACCCTTATTCTTTTTTTAAAAAGTTTTTGAGACAGAGTCTTACTATATAAGCCTGGCTGGCCTGGAACTCACTATGTAGACCAGGCTGCCCTCAAACTCACAGAGATCTTCATGCCCCCTGCCTCCTGGGTGCTGAGATTAAAGGCCTGAGCTACCACTCAGCCATCCTCAAGTGTGAGTCATGGAGGATCTCATCTTTTACCCTTATTCTTTTTTTAAAAAGTTTTTGAGACAGAGTCTTACTATATAAGCCTGGCTGGCCTGGAACTCACTATGTAGACCAGGCTGCCCTCAAACTCACAGAGATCTTCATGCCCCCTGCCTCCTGGGTGCTGAGATTAAAGGCCTGAGCTACCACTCCCAGCTCTTCTTTTAAGATTTTATTTAATATTTAATTATGTGTAGGGGAGTTGCACATAAACGCAGTGCCCACAGAATCTAGAAAAGAATATCAGATCCCCCTAGACCTGGAATTACAGGTGGTTATGAGCTGCCTGGTGGGGGTGCTGGGAACTGAACCTGGGTCCTCTGCAAGGGCAGTATACACTCTTAACTGCTAAGCCATCTCTCCAGTTCTCATCATTATTCTTTTAAAACATTTTTAGTGGTATTAGGAATGGAACCCAGGGTCTTGGGCATGTTAGGCAAGCTCTCTGTCGCTGAACTGTTTCTCTGACCCATTTATTAATTTATTTATTATTTATATGCTGTATTAGTTACTTTTTTCTGTTGCTGTGATAAAATACCATAACCAAGGCAACTTATAGAAGGGAGAATTTATTTGGCTTACAGTTCTAGAGGGATAAGAGTCTATCATGGTGGGGATGCATGGTGGGAAGTGACTGGAGCAGAAAGCTGAGCACTCACATCTTCAAGCACATGTAGGAGGCAGAGAGAAACAAACTCGAAATGAGAAGAGGCTATGGGCTCTCAAAGCCCACCCCCAGTGACATACTTCCTCCAGCAAGGCCCGCCTCCTAAAGCTTCCATTACCCTCCCTAAACAGCCACCAACTGACCAAATGTTCAAATACTTGAGCCTATGGGGAACATTTCTCATTCAAACCACCACGTGTACCCCAGTTAGAATATAAAGTATGAATAAAGGGAAAAACTACACTGAAAATGGAATGCATCCTGATACATGAATAGTCTGGTCTGACATCTAAAACTCTTTCTGCAAAGCAAAAGACCGTATAGTAATAGCCAAGTTTCAGAGCCACATGATCTCTATGGAGACTAAACTCCAGCTGTGTAACACCAAGACAGTAGTCACACACAGCACAAAAATGATCAGGCTTCACTGTGTTCCAATAAAACTTATTTATAATGATAAGTCATGGGCCAATTTGCCCAAGGGCTATATTTGCAGTCCTGCCATCAGAGCTGCTGTTGGATGCTGGCTTCTGGTGTGTGCAACTCAAAGGACACCATCTAAGTAGTGCTGGTGACATGAGTTCCAGTGTGGGGGACTGACTCTTGGTAAAGCTCCAGACAAACTGAAGGACAGTCTTCCCTTGATTTGTACAGTGATCCATGCCCATCACTTCAGTGTTTGTTAGTACTGAGAAGAAAAATGCACAGTCCCATCTCTGCATGGGCACAGAGAAGTGTAAGAAGGGTATGCACGCAGGCGAGGTCCAGATGGGCACTGAGAAGTCCCAAAGACTAGGGGACACGCTCTGGCTGTTTGAGGTGTGATCCTCCTGTGAAGTGTTCACAGAACCATCCTACAAGATGACCAGAGTCTTTGGAGGGTGAATTAGTTACCTTTCTTATCATCTGATAGAAACCACCTAAGGGGAAGAAGGATTTATTTAGGCTTACAGTTTCATCAGTTCAGTCCATGGTGATTTGGCCATAAGCACTTAGGCCAAGACTTCATAGGGAACCTGTGCAGAGCAGTTGGGAAGCAGAGGGAGGGATTGTAGGAAGAAACCAGGATGAGATGCAGCCAAGGAACATTCCCTGGCGACCTAGTTCCTCCAGTAGGCCCTACCTCTTCCTGCCTTCCACCACCTCCCACAATGCCATGGTATCATAAATTCTTTCATGGAGCTGCGCCAACAGCTCATCTATAAAGTACCTGCTGTGCAAGTGTTGGGGACCCCTGCTGTTTTAGGTCGTAGTCTCTCCATGTCTGGATAGCCGCAAGCCAGCTCAGCGTTCTTATGCAGAGACTCCCTTTCTCAGTGGGGCGCCTTCGTACTCTCTTCCTGACTCACCTTTGAAGTGCCCGTCACAGATACATTTCCTCTGGCACAGAAACTGCCAGGTTTTTCCTGTGTGATAATCAGGCACTGTCTGACAGCCTGATAGAAGCCCACCACCACATGTAAATGGGGCATCCAGCTGAGCTGAATCACTGAATAAAGGAGCTGTACCTGACTGAGCTGTATCCTGTGTCTTACTGCCTACGATTCAGTCTCCCCGGAGGGGGCTGTCCCTTAGTAAACAACCACTCGGGAAGATCTTGCTTTCGCTGTTCCTGCACCTCCCCTCGTGATCTGGTGGCCAAACGGATCGTGTAAACAGAGGGAGCGTCCGGCAGCTTGAAACAAAACTCGCCCAGGCAGCTGATAGCGGGAAGATCTTGCTTTCGCTGTTCCTGCACCTCCCCTCGTGATCTGGTGGCCAGCGGATCGTGTAAACAGAGGGAGCATCCGGCAGCTTGAAACAAAACTCGCCCAGGCAGCTGATAGCAACCCACAGAGTCACCAGCATCCGGTGGCCACGGAGAGCTAGATCCTTGGGAGTTCACTGGCCAGATAACCCCCACTGAATCTGCAAGCTCCAGGTTCAATGAGAGACCTTGTCTCAAAAAAATAAAAGAAAAAGAATCTATCCCTGGATTAATCCACTGACCTGGCTAGACCCCCCAGGAGCTAATCAGCTCTGGCTGTACCCCTTTGGAAACATCCAGAACTGTCCTGCACTGATCCCCTATGTGCGTAGTAGCCCAGTCAAGTTGATGGTCAGTGTTGACCATGACAGAGCCCAATGCCATTTCCACTAGAAAGTATGGCTGTGCAGAGAGTGTATGCCCACGAGTGAGGACAGTTCACACACAGGCGACAGCCCGAATTCTAACTTGCCTCTGTTACTCCAGATGGGATCTGAGGAGAGCAGGCAGTGGGGAGCCAAGCCAAGTTTCCTCTAAGGACAGGATGGTCTCATGCCACTTTTGCTTTAACCAGCGTCCCTGCCTCAACTGTAGAACGTGCGCCCCAATATCTAACACAGCTGGGTGTGTTCTCTCGCTCCCTCCCTCTCTTTCAGATTGTTCAGATGGAAAAGAAAATCAAAAACCAGAGGCAGGTCTTCTTAAAAACACAGGAGGCCAACAACCCCCGAAAACTGCAGAAGCAGATCCATGTACTGGAAACCCGGCTGAACCTGGTACTGAGGCATTCCCTGCGGCCTCTGTCTGCTCACCTCCACTCCCGGGGAAGGAAGGTGACCCCTGAGCCATTTGCAGAACACAGTCGCTCCCTTGGTGGACCGAGGGTGCATACACCCACCCTGCCCATCCACTGGCTTCTCTGCTGTGCCCCACCCTTGACCCCAGGCCTCACCATGCCCCAGGGGGCTCCTCATAAGTTTCCTGTTTCAGAAACTCCTGCTTGTTTTTCAGAGCAGCTCCCACAATGTCCCTCACTAGGCAGGTCTAGACCCTCCTCCTCTGGCTGGCTGCTCACGCCTGTAGGTGTCGGTTCCTCTCTTACAAAGTGTTAAGCACACACATGCAAACTTCATCATGGGAAAAGGCATGCGTTCTAATCGGTTTCAGTTCACCGTGACATTTGCTATAAACACAATTCTCTGATGGCAGAGTGACTTAAAAGGAGGTAGAAGGCAGGTGGAAGAGAGGCCTTCAGGCAGAGCTGGATCCAGGTGCTACAAATATGTGCTTTGGTCTACTTCTCTGTCCCTCTCTCTTTTGGGTAAATTTCATTCTTGGGCAACTCCCCTCCCCCATGTGAACAAATGCTAACTGAAAGGGAGCAACTTTTTCCTGTTTAATCGCATTGTTGACAGACACAGAAGTTTTCAACCAAGAAGCAGCATTTATTCATGCCAGCACTTGGCTCAGTGACCTCACAGCCGAAGTGTGAGCCCCGTATACTTTTTGACCATTTCTCTTTACATTTAAGTCCCTTTGTCTCCTCTGTATGGTAACATACATGCTGATTAGGTGTTCTGTACCAGAGTTGTGACAGGGCCATTCATGAATTCATAGACATTGATTAGGTCACAGTGCCTTTTTGTTCTGGAAAACCCTTATCATGACGTATCCCAGCAGGTTCCCATGGGATCAGCATGGGTCATGCCCATCCCTGAACCAATGAAATGCGTGGACCATTCCTTTCCTTCCCAAGTCAGGGAGGAAAGCCTCTTCTGAATTACATGAACTGACAGAAAGGGGTGGTGGCCAGCTTTGGACAAACAAGAGCAGGAAGGAAGGCCAATTCACGTGGCAGTGCCGTCAACCATGTGGAGTTCAGATAACACAGCCGAAGGACGGCAAATGGACTTGGAGGGCAGAGCCTCTGCCTCCCTGCACACAGCTCTCCACTTCCCCCAAGCTTGAACCTCTAGGTATGGTTGGAATTAATGGATCTGATGTGTACCCCTGCTGGCAAGGCAAGGTCTCCATCATGGCCATACCCAGGGATTTTCAGCTGTGCCTCAAGGCCCGAGACATACTTTAAAAATACAGATTCTGGGTTTACTAGATGGTTCAGCAAGCTAAAGGCTCTTGCTGCCAAGCCTGATGGCCTGAGTTCAATCCCTGGAGCCCCCATGGTAGAAGGAGAGAACTGAATTCTGCAAATTGTCCACTGACCTCCACACATGCTCCATGGCTCATGAGACCAGACACAGACACACACATGTAAATAAATGAATGTAAGGAAGAGTACAGATTCCTGGACCCCCTCCAGAGTTCCCCAGTTAGAACCTGTATTGCATCCTGTACCAGCTCTGTTGTTAACAATCCCAGAGAACCTGAGTCACAGTGTTAGTGGCTGGTGTGCTGTCAGCAAGCTCAGTGAGCAATTGCTGAGTGACTAGATGGGCTAATTCTTGCACATACAGGTTCACAACGCCCTGTCCCCAGAGCTCAGCTTTTCTGTGATTGGTCTATTCAGATGGTCTGTTCTTCAGTCAATTTTGGTGATTCTTTCCAGGAATTTGTCACTCTATCTGTTATTTTAAAGTTGACTTTTATTTTATTTCTCATTATTATTATGGGTTTGTGCCACAGTGTGCATATGGAGGTCAGAAGACATCTTTTAAGAGTCAGCTCTGTCCTTCCACCATGGGTTCTGAATCTTGAACTTAGGTCATCGGGCATGAAACGCCTTTACCCACAGAACCATGTCTCTGGCCCTAAGTTGTCTTAATCTGCTGGGCAATAGCTGTTCCAAGTGTAGTCTCTTACAGTTTTTATTTCTTCTTCTGTGGGGTCTATAGTAATAGTCCCACTTACATATCTAAGAGTTCTGTGTTGTTGGTTTTGGGGGTATTTTTTCATCTTAAAATGGTCCCCTCTTCCTTCTATCCCTGACCAAGTATGGCTGTGCCTTTGTACTCTTTCCTTGCATTCATTTATTTATGTGTATGTGTCTAACCTCATGGGCCAAAGAGGATGTGTGGAAGTCAGAGGACAACTTGCAAGAGTCAGTTCCCTCCTTCCACCATGTGGATTCCAGGGATCGAACTCAGGTTATCAGGCTTAGCAGCAAGAGCCTTTAGCTTGCAAAACCATCTAGTAAGCCCAGAATCTGTATTTTTAGATTAGGAAGTCATCCCTAAAGGTGATTTCAGATTCCCAGAATCCCTCAGGACTCTAACACCTCCTCCACATACTCACCAGATCCTGAGAGTCCTTCCCCATGGATCAGGCCCCGTAGTCCATAATCACAGGTTGTGCAGCATGCCTAGGCCTGGAGTAAAATTCATGCTAAAAAACAAGATGACTGAGGGCTGGAGAGATGGCTCAGCGGTTAAGGGCACTGACTGACCCGGGTTCAATTCCCAACACCCACATGGCGACTACGAACTGTCCTTGACTCCAGCTCTAGGGAAATCCAAAGCCCTCTTCTGACCTCCATGGCATTGCACGACACGGGTGCACTCACATACATGTAGGCAATACACTCATACACATAAAATGAAAATAATAAGTAAAATATTTTTTAAAAAACAGATGACTGATAACTTGTCTTCCTAAGAGTAAGTGAAAGTTGCAAAAAAACGGAATTCAAACGCTGTGTTCAAGCCAGGTGCTTTGGTGCACATCTATAATCCCAGTACTCTGGAAGCAGAGGCAGGAAGATCAGGAGTTCAGAGTCATCCTCAGGTACATAGTGAGTTCAGGCCCAACCTGAGCCACATGAGGCCCTGCCTCAAAAAACAAAACAAAACAAAACAGAACAAAACAAATTGCTTTATGGAAACCCTGACTGAGTCTATGGAAGAGAAGCAAAGAGCACAGGATGCAAAATTCAGGAGGTTCTCACTCTTGGGTCTGTGGAAATACAGGGTGGAGGCCTAGCAGAAAGTGCCTCCTGAAGTTTGAGACCTGGCTGCCTGCCTTCTCTTGCCATTCAGCCCTTCTAAAACCCAAGGTTTCTTAGAACACCTTGGAAGACCCCTGCTGAGTTCAGATCTTTTACTGGTGGGGATCTGTTTTCCAGGTGATTTTTTCCAGCATCCATGGGAGAATTTCGCATCACATTATTTTTTCAGTAGCAAAAGTCTAGGTTTATTAAAAGTGAATGTAAAAGCAAAAAAGTATATGTCAAGCAGTTCCAGCATGGAGGTGGGGGAGCGCATATCACACATATCACCTGCTAAAGAAAACTGCTAAAATTATTTTATCTGTATATAGTTTTTGGGTTTTTTTTGGTTTTTGGTTTTTTGTTTTTTGATTTGGTTTTTTGGTTGGTTTTTTTTTTTGTTTTTTTTTTTTTTTTTTTTTTGGGTGTTCCCAATTGAAAATTTGAGACGAGTTCCCTGTAGCCCCAGCTGACCTGGAACTTGCTATGTAAACCAGACTGGCCTCAATCTCACAGAAATCTGCCTACCTTTATCTCCCAAGTGCTAGGATTAAAAGTGTGCACCAGTACGCCTGGCCATTTAAAAGTTTTGTTTTGTTTTGTTTTGTTTTGTTTTGTTTCGTTTTGTTTTGAAACAGGGTCTACCTGTAGCCCCAGCTTGCCTAGAACTCACTAAGAAGACCAGGCTGGCCTCAATCTCACAGAGATATATCTGCCTCTGCCTCCCAAGTGCTGGGATTAGAACCATGAGCCACCATACCCAATGCTTGAAAATTGTTTTTAATATTTTATTTATTATTTTTAATCTATGTGTATGAGTGTATTGCCTGCATGTGTGTAAGTGCAACCATGTCACACAATGCCCACCAATGTCAGAAGAGGGTATTAGAGTCCCCTGGAACTGGAGTTATGAACGATTGTTAGCCACCATGTGGGTGCTGGGAATCGAACCTAGGTCCTCTGCAAGAGCTGCCTGCTGAGCCATCTCTCCAGCTCCCTTATTTTATTTTTTTGAGACAGTTTTACACTGTCTCAGCTGGTCTGGAACTCATGGCAATCCTCCTGCCTCTGTCTTTGAGTGCTGGGATCACAGGCATACCATCATTCCTGGCCTCTATTTCACTTTGTGTAATGAGGTTTTTGTGGATATGTGAGGTGTGCTTCATGATACCAAGGAGTACTCACAGCTAAGATGGTGACACAAGTTCACATAGCCATCATTTCACATGGTCACCCACAGTCTTGTGACAGGAAGGCCTAGAAGTGACTCAGCAAGAATCCTGCACAGCATATGGCTGGGAACAGGAACTTCCCAAGGTGCATTAGCTCCCTATACTTGAATATCCTGCATACATGCAGCTGTGTATCCTCCTACCTATACCTCATCAGTCCCATCTCTTCTCAGTCACCCCTGCTGTCTTCTCTGTTTATATATTTGGCTTTTCTTAGACTCCACATCTAAGCAAGGTCAGGAGCTACTTGTCTTTCCAAGTCTGCCTTATTTCACTTAGCAGTATGTCTTCCAGATTCATCTACATCATGACAAATAGTAGGATCTCCTTTTTCAAGACTAAGTAGTATTCTGTTGCTCCTACACACACACACACACACGCACGCACGCACGCACGCACCTACCTCACAGTTTCTTTATCCATTTCTCTGTCAGTGGACACCTGGGCTGTTTCCATATCCTGGCTGTAGTGGAAAGTGCTGCGAAGATTCTAACACTGTGTGTCTTCACAGGTGACGTTATCTCCACACAAGAGACTCCTGTTGAGATTCTATTTCTAAATTTCTTTTCCTTCTTTTATGTTTTGTTTTGTTTCTTTGAGAAAAGGTTTCACTATGCAGTCCTGGATGGTCTGGAATTCACTATATAGCACAGGCTAGCCTCAAACTCATAGAGATCCACCTGCCTTTGCTTCCTAAATGCTGGTATTGAAGATAAACACCACCACACCTGGCTCTGTTTTAAATTTGTCTTTCTTTCTATATTCTCTCTCTCTCTCTCTCTCTCTCTCTCTCTCTCTCTCTCTCTCTCTCTCTCTCTCTCTCTTTTCCTGTAGCCCAGGCTGGCTTGAACTCATTATGTAGCCGAGGCTAGCCTTGAACTTCTGATCCCCCTGCCTCCAGTTCTCCAGTGCCAGGATTACTGGTGTGAGTCATCTACCCTGCTGGTTTATTTTAAATTTCTTTAGAAACTTGCACACTTCTTTCCCCTGGTGGCTGAACCAGTCTACATTCCCATAAACAGTATAACCAATGTCACCTTTAAAAAAAAACTTTTTTTTAAATTAAGATAAATTTATTCAGACATATAGAAAGTAGGGACTAAAATAACAGACACCTACACACCTATCACTTTGATTAATAATGTTAACATGTTGCGTTAATTGCTGCTTTGTTTCTATCCTGAAATATTTTAAGAGAAATGATTTACCTCACTTAAGGTAATTAAGGGAAGGCACCTGAGATTTTACTCCAAAATCCTTCAGGTTTATTACTTAAACATTTTCTTCCTTACAAAATGAACGTTTTGTTAAGATTTTCAAGACTTGATCTATTAACTTTTTCTGGCTGGATCTAAAACATCTTTTAAAGATTGGTTCTATCAAGATCCCTAGAATTCTTGAATTCTTACATTTCTTCTATCTAGATTGGTGGGTCTTAATAGGGGGTGGTTTGTCTCCAATGGGATGAAGGAGACATGACTATCACAGTCAGGCTGAGTGGGGTGCTGCTGGCATCTAGTGTGCAGCAGTAGTGTGACTACACCACAGGACATCCACACCATCCTGCCAGAAACTAAGGGCTATGGTGTGAACCCCTGGCTACCCACAGCGCCACCTAGTCCTCACTCCCTCCAGCCCTGTCCCAAGGAAGTTCTGCCCATGATCTGACTGCTCTTTCCAGTGGTGCCAGTAGCTTGATCCTTTCTCTGTAGATGGTCAGAATGGAAACTCAGTTTTCAAAGTAGCTGTGCAATTTGAAATCCAGAAGGATCCACCAAAGGCCACTTGGCCAGTTGGTAGCCAAGTGAAGCCTCTCTCACCTGGCACGCTTTGGTTCCATGGTCCTGACGTGGGGGTTGAGGGGTGGCCTGGAAACATGCCTGCCGCCCACATAAGCCCTGTTTGACGCACAGCCTCCTGCAGGTCACCATCCACTTTGACAAGATGCTGACTGACAACACCCGACTCCGGCAGGACATAGAGGACCTGCTTTTCGAGAAGGCCACCTATGACCATGTCTACCAGCAACTCCAGAGGCGCCTGCAGGCACAGAAGAAGACCATGAACATGGCCATCAAGCAGTCTGCTCAGGCCTATGAGCAGAGGTTTGTGGAGAGGGCCGGAGCCTGATTCAGCACCGGCTCAAGTCCTTCCTGCTCCTTTCAGGTGCTATGGGCTATAACTTACAAGGGTACCAACCCCAGACACTGACTATGCACCTAGCGAGGCACCAGGCACCCTAGTGCCTCCATCATCTGCCCCACAGCCTGAGGAACTATTATCACCTCACTTCCCAGACCTGACAAGGAAGCTGTGTAGGAGAATGCAGACAGTAGAACCAAGTCTCCAGCTCTTCTGTTCTGTCCTCTGCATGCACCCTGCTCCTGTCCAGGGGGTCTTTATCTAGGTCTCTCCTAGCATAGAGCTGGGCTGGGGAGAGAACAGGCCTTAGAGTCAGGCATGTAAGGGATCAGCTCCTCTCTTCAAAACTTCTACATTGTTATAAGATCCCTATTGGTGGTAGAGAAGATGAACTAATCCATGAATGCAAGTGACAAGTGGTGATGGTGGTGGCTGGGGTGATGATAGTAATGGTCATAAGAATGGTGACTGATGGTGGTGATAGTGGCAGTGATACTGACGATGATCATGGTGGTGATGATGATAATGGTGATGATGGTAATAATAATAAAGATAGTGATGCTAATGGTGATATGATGGTGGTGGTGATGGTGATGAAGGTGGTGATGATGATGGTGATGAAGGTAATGATGATGATGGTGATGGTTATAAAGATGGTGATGGTGATGAAGGTGATGATAATGGTGATGAAGGTAGTGATGATGGTGGTGATGATGGTGATGGTTATAAAGATGGTGATGGTGATAAAGATGATGATGATGGTGTTGAGTAGGCATGTCCTCTGAGACAGTCACTCCTCCCACCCAATCAGTCAGCTTCAATTGCATGAGAGGGGTGTCTAAGGACAGACACTGAGAACGCTGGAAAGCGCAAGGACACTGAAAGAAGGGTGGGGTGGTTGCCATTTTGGAACAGAGCGGGCAGACCTTGGGCACATTGGATGGTGTGGATCTCAAATATGGGAGAGAAAGAGCCCACAAGAGTTTCATGTCTTTGTAAGTGACCCTCTCCCAAACAGCATAAACCTTGTTGGAAAACCCAAATAAGTATTCTTATTCCCCAAACTGTAACTTAAGAGGAACATTGTGGTGGATTATCAGACCGTGGGACCCTGGGATCCCAGAGAGTGTACACGGGTCTCTCAGAGGAACATTTGGCGGGACAGATGGTGTTGATGATGATGATGGTAATAATGGTGATGGTGATGATAGTGATAAAGATGATGGTGATAAAGTGGCGATGAAGGTGATGCTGGTGATGGTGATCATAAGACTGGTGACACTGAGAGCCAACCATAGTGGTACACACCTTTAATCCCAGAGGAGGCAGAGGCAGACAGATCTCTGTAGGATCGAGGCCAGCCTGGTCTACATAGAAGTTCCAAGCCAGGTGGGGCTGTAGGAGACCCTGTCTCAAAAAAACAAAGAAAAACAAAAAAAGGAAGAAAAAGTAAAAGAATGGTGATACAGATGGTGATGATCATGGTGATGATCATGATAGCGTAATGATCGTGATGCTCATGATGAACGTGATGGTGATGGTGGTGATGAAGGAGATGATGATAAAGGACATGGTAATGGTGGTGATTATATTGGTAATGATGGTGATAGTGATGGTGATGGTGATGCTGGTGGAGATTGTGATGGCAGTAATGATAACAATGGAGAGAGTGGCAGGAAAATCACTTCCCAAGGAAGGTCTAGACTCACAGCTCCAGTTGTTCAGGTAAGACGGGCCCTGGGTTCAGTCCCCAACACCAAAAAAAATTGCCAAAAAAAAAAAAAACAACAGCCTGGTGGTCTCTGGCCAGGTCTGTGGACTAGCAGAGAGAGGAAGAGAAGAGGAAAGGAGGAGCCTCTGGACACTCAGCCCTATGTCCCCACAGAGTGGAAGCCATGGCTCGGATGGCTGCCGTGAAGGACCGCCAGCAGAAGGACATCTCTCAGTACAATCTGGAGATCCGAGAGCTGGAGCGCCTGTATGCCCATGAGACCAAGCTGAAGTCCTTCCTGCTTGTCAAGCTCAGTGACCGCACTGAATATGAGGAACCCATCAAGAAGGGAGAAGGTACATTCCGAAGGTTCTCTCTCTTCTTCCCCCTTCCTCTTCTTTACTTCCTCCTCCCCCTTCCTCTTCCTCTTCTCCTTTTCCTTCTCCTCCTCCTGCTCCTCCTTTTCCTCTTCCTCCTCCTCTTCTTCCTCTCCTCCTCCTCCTCCTCCTCCTTTGTAGTAGGGTTACTAAACAATAAAATTGCAGCATGCTTAGTTAAACTTACACCTTAGACAACAATGAATACATTTTTAGGATAAGTATGTCCGTACCGAATTTAGTATATACTCATATAAAACTGTTTATCTCTAATGAGAGCATATTTAGGCTTTTGGAAATGTATTGCTTCCCTGCAATTCATAGATAACTATTTTGCCTGCCGGCTTCAACCAGAAGAATGTCTCTTCACTGTGAGATTCTCTGTCCATCACTTAGGGGAGACGTGAGGGTCAGGGGTCTACAGGGCCCTGTTTAGGATTGGCTTGCTACAGGGTCCTGTCAGGAGTCAGCATCTCATCACACTCATGGCTGCGATATGCTATGCTGAAGAATTACAAAGCAAAATGGTCAAAGGGAAAGACACAAAGAGGTAAAGGCCAAAGGAAACCACATGTCAGCGTCTACATGGAGTCACAGGGGTCCCAGAATTCCTCCAGCATCTAATTGTGACCACACACATGAAGCTTTGTCTACTGTGGGTGCACACTAGAGGCTCAATGCCCTTATTTCTTACTGAAGACAGATAGTGTGGGCACCCTCTATCTGGTATACACTGAGTTTCTTGGCTCCCAGAGGGACATGGGTACTATGTTTAAACCACATTGTCTGGGCAGTCTGAGGCAGTCTGAGCACCATGAGCCACTCCTATCAATTGGGTGACATTTTATATCAGTGTAAGGAGCTGTTAACCATTCAGGTTCCAGATGCCAGCCAAGAGACAACTTTATGAGCAAGCCTATTTAGCTCTGCCCATGTAACTCCTTACCCAACAGACTAAAAACACCAAGCTCTTCTGAAAGCCCCATGTTCTTTCTTTGTTTTTGAAGTGTTGAGGATTGAACCCAGGGCTTTGTGCATATTAAGCATGCACTCTACCACTGATCCACACAGCTATCCCCTTACATGTGTGCTGTCTGCTGCCTTTCTCTGCCTTATCACTTGGAACTCTAGAAGTGTCCCTGCTTTTTCCTGTCTTATCACTTGGGATTGTATTGACAGAAGTGTTTCTGAGAAATTCCATTGTGTATCTTACTCTCTAAAATAAAACAAAAACACCCAGAGCGATTTTGCCTTTGGGGCCTTCTTTCATCCATATCCACTCACCCCCTCACCCAGTCATCAGTCCTGTCACCCATCCTTACATCTACCAATCACATGTCCACCCATTCACAGCAGGCTTTTGCCATCTTCCAGGTGCTTGGCATGCATGATTTCCATATGGCCTTAGGATAGTCCCAACAGGTAGGCATTCCTGCTAAGACCTCAGTTTCAGATAAGGATCCTGCAGCCAAGAGTTTACCACTGACACAGACAAGGCCCATGGTAACTAAGTGGTAAATACAGGAGTCCTCAGATGTGTCTACATCCTACCCCAAACCCAGGGTCCCTAATACTACCCTCTTCTCATTCTTTTTTGTGTGTGCATGTTCATACGTGTTTCCTCTCCTACTCCTCTTCCTCCTCCTCTTCCTCCCTCTCTCCTCCTCCCTCTCTTCCTCTTCCTCCTCCTCCTCCTCCTCTTCCCTCTCCTCCTCCTTCTCCTCTTTCTCCTTCTTCTTCAAGGCAGAGGCTCTTACTGGCCTGGAACTTGCCAAGTAGCATGAGGCTGGTTGGCCAGCAACCCCAGAGACCCTTTTGTCTCTACCTCCCTGGCACTGGGACCCTCTTCTCACTCTTACTCCTGTGAACAGCCTCAAGATCACCTACTTGTGTCCCAGGCCAGGCAGGCCTCTCATTGCCAACCCAGATGGTCATCTGGGTGCTCACCACACATGCCCCCTTCCTCTTACCACTGCTTCAGTCCCTCATCATCCCCATCATTTCTGTTCTAAAAGCTTCCATGGGGTCCTTCCTGCCACCAGAGTCCTGTTCCAAACTGCCCTACAAGTGATCTTCCTCCAGGGTCACATTGTTGTGACCTGTGGATGCAATCATCCAAGTGTCTGATATGGTCCTTGTCTTCCAACAGACCCTATTAGTCACTTACCTTGAAATGAGCTTCTTGCCAGAAACCAAAGACACAGCAGTGAGCAATGGCAAAATTAACCCTCTGTGACGTGGGGTTTACATCTCAGGCCCAGAAACACAATGTATTAGTTAATTTTCTGTTGCTGAGCTAAAACACCATGACTAAGGCAACTTATAGAAAGAAGAGTTTATTTGTGCTTACAGTTCCAGAAGGAGAGTCCATCATGGTAGGGAGACCCTCTCCAACCCGGGAAACTGCAGCTGTCCTGGCTCTCTGGAACCCAAGTCTTCTCTCTCTGGTTTGACTTCAGCACCAGAGAGAACTTTCTAGACCTTTCTAGGCCCTTCTGGCCATGTGATGCCTGGCAGGCTGTGATTTTCTACTGTCCTTGCACTGGCCAAACTCTGAGCCTTCCAAAGAACTCATTGTCCAAGGCTGTCCTTGGACATTACTTGACCTTCATTCTGCTCAAATGTCTCCTCTACAGAGAGGCCTTCACATCTAGGCACAAAGTGTGTCTCCCCCCAGCCACAGTAGTATCAGTGGGCTTCCTCTTCTGTTTGCTTGAGCTCTTCTGTTCCCATGTCTGATTGCCCCACTCAGGTTCCTCTCAGCAGAGCCTGTCCCTGTGTCATGGGTTCCTGTCCAGGGAAGTTCATTTCATGTTGTTTTAGCTTATTTGTGTGCATGTGTATGGGGTATGTGTTCACATGTATGTGGGTGCACATGTGTTCAGATGTGCTTGCACATGTTTGCTGGTACATCTGGAAGCCACAGGTAAACCTCAGGTGATGGTCCTCAGGAACTATCCACCTTGTGTTTTGTTTTTGTTTTTTAAATTTTTTAAATTTGTGTCTCATTTTTACTTATGTGTATGTGGGTGTGTCTGTGAATATATGCCACATGTGTGGGAGTGCCAAAGAGGGTGTTGGATTCCCTGGAGCTGGAGCCACAGGCAGTTGTGACCCACCCAGTGATTGCACTGGGATCTGAACTAGGGTCCTCTGGAAGAGCAGGAAGCCATACCTCCAGCAGCACCTTGTTTTGAAGCAGGGTCTCTCACTGAACCCGCAGTTTACCAGCTCAGCTAGGCTGGCGGCCAGTGAGCCCCAGGAGTCCTCCTGCCTCTGCCTGCCCAGCACAGGGATTTTAAGCACATGCCACCACACCCCCTTCTCTGGGCCCAGAACTCATGTCCTCACGCAAAGCGGCAGGCGCTTTACCCTTGGGGCCATCTCCCCAGCCCTTCCTTAGGTATTTCTGACACGGGTAACGGGCAAACCTTGGGGCTCATCTGGAAAACTCCAGCCCCTTCCGCAGCACGCAGTGATAGTGGTGCCCCAACCCTGCGGCGCAGCTTCCTTTCAAGCCCTTCCTCTCTCCACAGTCAAGAGGAAGAAGAGCAAGGGCGAGAGCTTCGAGAGCTACGAAGTGGCGCACTTGCGGCTGCTGAAGCTGGCGGAGAACGGGAACCTGGAGCAGCTCACGGAGGATTTCCTGGCCAAGGAGGAGAAGAACTTCGCCCGCTTCACCTACGTCACGGAGCTCAACAATGACATGGAGGCCATGCACAAGAAGACCCAGAGGATCCAGGTGCGCGGCTGGCAGTGCCCAGGTCTGACGGCAGGCGGGGACAAAGTTAGAGGTCATCCTCCAGTGTGGCTCCTCAGGCACTGTCCACCTTGTTCTCTGAGACAGAATTTCTCACTGGGACCTGGAGCTCACCAATTAGGCTAGGCTAGGCTGGCCAGTGAGCCCCAGGGATCCTCCTGTCTCCACCTCCCCAGTGCTGGGATTACTAGCTCATACCACCACACCTGGATTTTTTTATGTTGGTTCTGGGGCCCAAACTCAGGTCCTGATCCCTTGTTGACCAATGGCTTCGGAGTGACAGGGGAATGGTCAGCATCATCTTGGACAAGGCCAGTGCTCTGAGCATAGTAAAGTCAAGTTCTGCAGGAAAGAAACCTGTCTACTTCTGTTGTATGCTTGACTGGTTCCCAGGGCTCCTCTCTCCTTAGAACAGAAATAAACAGCCTCTGGAACACCTGTCCAGTACAGACTCCAGTCCTCCTGGTGCCACTCTCCAGCCCCTTCACCCCTGGTTTGCACCTGCCTCTTGCTCAGATGCAGTAACAACACCCCACCCCTACCACGATGCTCAAACCAAGCTCTTTTAGTTTAGTTTTGTTATAGAGCTCTACCATTTACATCTCAGAGCTCAAGTGTCTGCACATGTTCAGGCCCTGCCTCACACTCATGGCCCTGCAGATGGGCCAGCAGTCTGCATTTAGCCATGTATGCGTGTGGAACCTCCCCTACCCAATAAACAGACCATCACATCTCAACAAGCATCAGGTTTTGCCCTCGATGGGACAGCCATCTGCACTGGTATATTCTGTGATTTCCATTAGACCAGATCTCAGGCTGGAACTGCTCTGTCAAAGAGTTCAAACAGTGCACTGGGAACTCTCAGAAAGGCTGGTTCTCTGGCTCCACCCCAGACCTAGGAGTCAGGACCTTGGACCAGGTGATTCAAATTCTTGTGGGAGTTTGAGGAATCCTGGGCTGTGTTGTTTGGTCCAGTGAAGTAGCCACTAGCTACACATGGCGATTTAACTTTAAATTCCTTACAATGGAATCCCAGTTGAAATCCCTGCTCCCCAGTGGCCAGAGCCATATTTCAAGTCTCCACATGATGACATAATCAGGGCAGGTAGGATGTTAAGGATGATACTGACTGCCTTGTTCTAGATGATTCTCAGAGAGGGTGGATGCCACCTTTGAATGCTTTCATGCTTTGAATGCTCATTTAACTAAGAAACACCAGAAAGACCCTCCTGGGACATAGAAGGGGCAGGTAGGGGGCTCAGGGCTCCTTGATGTGTCATTCAATCTTGGAGGAGGGTGCGGTGGGGGAGGGGAGCTCCTGACTTTGTTATTGTTTGGGTTTTTTCTTCATTTTTCTCTCTCTCTCTCTTTCCCTCTCTCCCTCCCTCTCTCTGGCTCTCTCTCTCTCAGGATGACATTATCAACTTGCGTTCCCAGCAACAATTCTCTCATGACAATACTCGGAGCATCCTGAAACAGATGGAGGTGAACTAAGGCCATCCCACATCTATCTGTCTGTTTGTCTGTCAGGTAGCCTGACTCTGGAGTCTGCCCCATGACTTGAGGTGGCCTGGGGCCCAGGCCAGGATCACTGCAGAATCTTGTCCTTAGTATCTCTATATCATAAAGACAAGTCAGGGTCAAACCCAGGCCCTGGGGCTACAGTTTCAGCCTGACACACTTCTACCTCAATTTCTTCCTCCCTTTGTCCTGGCTGCACAGTCCTCTACCAATAATATAGACCACAATAACACCTCCTTCCCTCATTGCCCCCTCCTTCCCTCCCTCCTTCCCTCCCTTTCTTTCACCTCCCCTTCCTCCGTTACTTCCTGTGCTAGGAATCAAACCCAGAGCCTCCGGAGTGCTAGGTTAACTCTCTGCCACTGAACCCCAGCCGGGCCCCAGCATGCAAATACTTGGGCTAGGCACTAGCTAGAAAACACAGGGCTATACATTCTGCTCTCTCTTTCTCCTGTCGCCCTTCACCCTCATTTTAGAGAAGGAAACTGAGCCTGGCAGAGGTAAAATTGCTTGGGAGATATTATGGGTGCATTAAGTTGTAAATGTGGCATTAATTCTATTCAGGGATCCAAACAACAATCGCCTGAGCAAGCTAGAAGTTTGACATTTTGTTATTGTTGTTAAATGGGCCTGAAAGCTGGCAGTTCAGGGCCAGTAGGGTGGGTGCTTGTGATGTCATCTGCCACAGATCCAGCCATCACACACACACACATTTCAGGCAGGAAGAAAGGAGAGGACTGGGGAAGCTTACAGGTGTTTCCCAGGACTTCAGGCCAATGACTTGTTTTTACTTATCACTGGCCACCCCACTGCAAGAGAAGTTTGGAAATTAGACTTTAGCTGGTCACACTGCCATACACCCCCCAGTGCAAGCAGGGCTCTGTCATGAAGGTATCAGGCAGAATGGGATAGCAAAGCCTGGACAAGACATGAACCCAGCCGGTGATCCCAGTGCTCAGAGGCTGAGGCAGGAGGATCAAGAACTCAAGGCTAGCCAGGGCTACTCCTGTTCAATTGGGCAGTTCTAAGCTCCAGGACTGCACCGGATTGGCCTCTTCCTGTGGCTCATTTCCGTCATCTACATCTGGCACGTGGTGCCATTCTCCACTTGGCCACTGGAGGGCAGAAAAGCTTAGGCCAAGAAAGAGGAGCTAGGATTCCTGGCGGTGGTGGCCTGGGAAGCTGGCAGGACCTGTCAGGGCCCTCTCTACGCACTTGCCCCCACATCGCCCCCTGGGGCAATCCAGAGTCCAGACTCTTCCCTGGAACTGGGACTGGTGGTGCCTTCTGTCAGGGTTTGGAAGTCTCGGGACCTCTTCTCTATTCTGTTCCCTGTCTTCACGGGGGTAGCAGCATGGGGGTCCATCCCAAATACCCCAAGCAGGAGAATTTATTCCAGTACTGACAGGCTCTCAGTTGATTCCCACTCGGCTGTCTCACCCGCCCCTCAGATCCTTCCCCATTCCTCCCTCTTACTATCTCCTGTACACAGGGCTCCCAGAGCAATCACTTCCTAACTATGTGACTTTGAAATACACCTCTGGGGCTCCCACCTACTACTCAAGTCTTTGAAGATAGAATGGGATCCAGAATCCATCAATTCTGTAAGCCTGAAAACCCAATTCCCTCTACCTGAGGACTAAATAGTTGCTCAATTAATGAGCCAAGCCAAGTCCTTAGATGAACTGATACAGGGTCACTGAACCCAGTTTCCCTTTCTTGTCTGATCTCAGCCTTCCCCACTGGTGGGACTATCCTGGGCGTGGAGACCAGTGACAGCAGCAGATGGCTAAAGGCTGCAGATGGCTATAAGGTCAAGGGTAGCCTTCCACAAGGGTGGCTGGGGTTCTTATGAGCATAGTGTCTCAGTATGGCGTAGAAGTTGATAAAGACCCAGGTATGCAGGGCAGCGTCGTAGAGCTTATCTGGGATCCCAGCATTCAGGAGGCTGATGCAGGAGGGTTCTGAGTTCAAGGCCAGTCTGAGCTATATAGTGAGAACTTGCCTCAAAAACAAAACAAAACAAAAATACTATGATTCAACCTACGGAAGACTGGAATGCATGTGTAAGTGTAACAAACTTATTAAAAGACGTTACTCCAATGGCCCTAAATGCATGGTTGTCTTTTCTCTTTCTTCCTTCTGTCTCACCTTTCCTCCTTTTTTTTTTTTTTTGGAGACAGGGTCTCATGGAACCCAGGCTGGCCCCTTGAACTTGCTATGTAGATGAGGATGACCTTACAGTTCTGATCCTCCTGCCCCCACCTCCTGATGGCTGTGATTACAGGTGGACACCATCATGCCCAGTCTATGCCATGCTGGGGATGGAACCTAGGACTTGGTGCATGCTAGCTAAGCACTCTGCCAGCTGACCCACATCCCAGAATCTGTTGTTTGCTTTTTCTTCATTACCTGGCTTAATGCTGAAGGGAAGCCCATTGTTTTGCTCTCATACCATCCAAGGTTTGAAAACCTGCCTTTTGGGGAACTCTGCCCTGAAGTGTCCCACAGGCCCCTGCCCAGAAGTCCGGTTGCCCTTATGCTGACCAGGTGGAACCTGGTGTCTGCCCCCAGGAGAAACTGAAGAAGACCACAAAGGAGGCAGATGTTTTCGAGAACAGATACAAGGAGATAAGCAAGACCCTGGAGCACCTCAAGAACTCAGTAGAAAAGCTGTTCAAGAAGATGAACTGTGATGCCACCGAGATCCTGGGGAAGCTGGGTGAGACCGGGAAGATCACAGACATCAACTTGCAGCAGTACTTTGGTAAGCTCAGCTGGCCCTGCCCAGCTCACAGGCGCCCTTTCTAGCATCTCCTGTGACCAGGCACAGGGAGTGGGCATGGTGGTGGTGCACGTGAGCGCTAAAGCCAGCCTAGGGTTTGAATCCTGGTTCTGCACTGACTAGCTATGGGACTCTGGGCATGTTTCTGAGCTGCTCTGGATGTCAGTACCTTCATCTCCCAATTGAGGGTCAACTCAGGAGCCACAAAGGTTCTTGGAGGATGGGGAAAATGGACAGTGTATGATGATCTCAGTTGACACAGAAGAGGGATTTGATAAAATTAAATGTTCTTTATGAGAAAAACTAGAAACAGAAGGGTGCTTTCTTAGAACAAAAGGTGTTCACACACACATACAAACAGACACAGACACAGATACACACGCTCATACAGATGCACAGACACACACACACACACACACAGATACACACACACACGTCATGTCATGTCAGAGCTGCTCTTTTCTTCTAGGATTAGGAACAGGGCACGGATAACCACCATGGTTATCCAGTGCCTTGTTGGTGATTCTTGCCAATGCAATAAAGCAAGAAAAAAGAATAAAAGGAACTGGGACTGGAAATCCACTCTTTCTGAGGCTAGCCTGGCTGGTGGTCTTTCCAAGGAGAGAGGCCTCAGGCTTGCTCTGTGAGCTCGCCTGTGCACAACCTGGTCCCTTCTGGCTTGTCTCCTCTTGTCCTGCCCTGTTGGTCACCTCCGGCCACATAGTTCTCCTCCCTTCTGCTGCACTGAGCTTCATTCCCACCTCAGGGCTGCTCTGGCTTGGAAAATTCCTGGAAGACTCTCTCCATGGCCCCTCCTCTTTGTTCTCAGATCTGTTTGCCTTCTCCCAGCTAGGCCTCCCTCAAGCTGTCCCCCCACCCCAAGACTGCACCCCCTATACCGGTGGTGGTCCTGTGATCTGACACCCCCCATTTGTCACTGTTGGCCTCTGTCAGATGCCTGAAAGCTAATAGCAAGGGTCAGTTGCAGATATTTTGGGCCCCCAACTTTCAGCCAGAATGTCAACATTTGGGCAAGTGTGAGGCTTTTGTTTTTAATTAATTTATTTATTTAATTTTACATGTATGCATGTATTGCTTGCATGTAGGTAAGTGCACCCATGTCATGCAATGCCGCAGAGGTCAAAAGAGGGCATCAGATCCCCTAGGACTGGAGTTACGGACAGTTGTTAGCTGCCACATGGGTGCTGGGATTTGAATCCGGGTCTTCTGCAAGAACAACCAGTGTTCTTAACCACTGAGTCATCTCTCCAGCCCCAAGTGTGAGATTTTTTAAAAGAAAAGAAATTTCCAAATCCAGTAGCCACTGAGTCCAGGGAACAAGCTCAAGGTAGCGGGGAGCATCTTTGTGCATCGGTTCTCCTGACCAGTATGTCCTTCTCTGTCCCTCTGAAGACACCAAAGCTTTCTAAGGAGACCCCGTAAATGAGTGAATGAATGAACAAATGAATGAATTAAAGGCTCTGCTCTGGAAGTACCACACCCCTGTTCCCTCCCGACAAGGGCCTACCTAGGCTGGCAGCGGTGACCTTGTCTGTGACCTTGGCCCCTCTTCCCCCAGCCATCATAGAAAAGAAGACCAATGACCTGCTCCTGCTGGAGTCCTTCCGGCGCCTGCAGGACTTGGAGAATCCCAACATTGAGGTCCCCCGGCCTTTCATCAACCCTTTCTGGGGCGGCTCAGCCCTCCTCAAGCCCCCTGAGCAGTCTCAGGTCTTGTTTCCTGTGTTTGGGGTGGAATCCTTCAGCGACAAGCTGGAAGAGGGTGAGTTCTTGCCCTCTGCCACCCAGGCAGGTCCCTGGGTCAGGTCCCTAAGGAGCCTGGATCCCTCTAGGGTCAGTAGGCTGAGCCTTTTTCCCATCACTTCACTGGTACTACTAGCCCAGGGTGGCCACCATACACGGTTACCAGGACTCTTCTCCCCACAAGGCCAGGGTGTCCCAGCTCAGGCCCCAAATTGCTTACTCAGGAAGTTTTTTAAAAAATCACAAGTAACTTTGTGAATGTTTAAAATGAACCTGAAAAGACTGAAATGCTCCAAAGTGGCAAGGTGTGCTGCACAGGGCGCAGGGCCCTCACCCCCATCCCAGGCTCTCAAGACCTCTCTGAGCCCATGACCTTTCCCCCCAGACCGTCTTTGCTTTCCACAGCTCCTCCTCAGTCCCCTCTCCTCCATATCCCCCAAGCTCAGGGTGGAAGTAGCACACTTCCTCCCAGCTACTCCCTCATCTCTCCCAGAGGCCAGAGTCACTCCTCAGAGACAGTCAAATTAACTCATTCATTGTTTGAAAACATAGATGGGAATTGATCCTTATAAAAAAAAACTGAGGGGGGTCCAAGGTGAGATGTAACATGTTCACTGCCCCAAACCAAAAACAGGAAAACCACCCATTCACAGTTAGGTCAGTCAAAGTTTACCCAAACAAGCAATGGAGTACTATGCAGCCACTAAAAATAATGCCCAGGGCAATATGAGCTGTTGTGGGAAACTGCTTTTAGCAGTATTTAGAGCAAAAGAAAAAAATCTAGTAAATTTGAAAGTTTTGTGGTATAATCCCATCTTTCTAAAAACATAGTGCACACATGTGCGCACACACACACACACACACACACACACAGAGTTCCTGTTTGATTCACCTGAAGCTTAGCAAAAGTAATATATTTTTAAATTTTTATGTATTATTTTTATTTTATGTGTGAGTGTATTGCCTGCATGTGTGTAAGTGCACCTATGTCCAGCAATGCCCGCAGAGGTCAGAAGAGGGCATTGGATCCCCTGGAACTGGAGTTAAGGATGCCTCTCATGTGGGTGTTGGGAACTGAACCCAGGTCCTCTGCAAGAGCAATCAGTGCTCTTAATCACTGAGCCAGCTCTCTAGCTCCAGAAGCAATATATTGATGATTAGGTGCCGCCCACCTTAACAGTGCTGCTTTAGCGCTTGGTGTCCCTGCAAGAGGTCAGGCACAGCTGTTTGGCAGGCCATCCCACCCTCACTGGCTCAGGTACATACAACTAATGGCCTTTACTACATGCAAGGGAACACAGGGTTCTCTGAGGCCAGTAGCTCTCCGTACTCAGAAGAGATAACCTGCTTCTGGGCATGCAGTTGGGAGGAAGGAGCCCTCTGGGCAGCAAAGGCTTAGTGATCAATTGGAGGCTTGATTTCAGCCCAAGTTACCTCTGTCCTCAAGTGTCTGCACAGTGCACACCCTAAACAGCTGCACATTATAGCCTGGTCTCCTCGATCCTAAACCAAGCGTGCCTCACATTCTTTTCTGGGGCTGCACTGAGGATGTATCTCTGCTTGGAATTCTAAGGGTTCTCCATTCCACATTCAGCCCTGTGGAGGGACCCCAAACTAGCCTCGTGCAGTCACAAACAGGGCAGAGTGAACTGTCCCTGGAAAGGAAGTTCTGAGCTGGGACTCCAAGCTCACAGTGCTGTGTCCTTGCTCAGTGGATCATCCCCTGGACCACAGCAGCCTCTGGCAGCTGGTGCTGAAAAACTACCTTCAAAGAGACCACAGCAAAGACCCACACTCAGACAACTTGTCAGAGAAGGGGGATGAGCTGAGTCCCAAGAAGAAGGTGGTGAGCTGAGCTGTGGGTGCCTGTGTACCACACCCAGAAAGAATAAATGTTTTCTCCCAGAACCCCAGAGCCTTCTCACATGCTGGGCACGCCAGCGTCAGAAAACAGCTCCACAATGGGGTGGGGACAAGAAGGGCCAGGCTCAAAAATAGCTATAGAGGAAGGGTCACCCGAAGTATATGCTGGCCCCAGAGGACCTCAAGATGGTGGCCAGCAGGCCCCCAATAACGTCTGTGAGATGGAGCACAAAGCAGCACAGTGAGGGGCAAAATGAGATGGTATTTTAGCACATGATATTTTAGCACATGACTGCTAAAATATTGATTGTAAGACTCCAGGGTTTCTTGGGGTGAGGCTGACACTCACAGTGGGAACCAGGGGCCAGGGAGGCTCTGAGTATGCATGTGATTATCTGTCTGTCTGTCTGTCTGTCTGTCTTGTGGGTGGGGATCCCCATAGAGCTGAACTGGTTCCCAAAGACCTGGCTGCCTCTCTGCAGAGCCCAAGTACCCAGGTCACAGCCTCCCTGCCTCTGGAAGGAATGAGCTTCCCTGGGGACCCTCACTGGCAGAGTGTGATAGTCACCCTGGGCTTGGGGGTGGCACTCTGACCTTTCAGGACCCCCTCTCTCCCAGGTTTCCACAAGGGGGTCATGGGGACCTCACTGGTTGCAGGCCTGGGTCTGACCCTGAGTATGGTGTTATGGGGTTCCATCTTTCTCCCAGACAGGCGAATACCTGACCCCGGTGATTTCTCTTGAGGGCTACTTCCCTGTTCTGGGTTTATCTTTGGTGGGGCTTAACCCCCCAGCCCTGAGCCACATAACTGGGACCTCAGCGACAGGACTGTGTGACCACGCAGGTCAGCAGTGGTTTGGGAACTGAGTGATCCCTTCGGGTCCTGCTCTGACTTGTGTGGAATTGGAAGGACAGAAATGTTGGGTTCCCCCCAGGATTGATGAAGGCCAGGAAGTGAGTTGGGAGCTGGCCTAGAACTCACTATGTAGACCAGGCTGGCCTCCAACTCACAGAGCATCTCCTGCCTCTGTCCCCTGAGTTCTGGGCTCAAAGTTGTGTGTTACCACACCCAGCTGCACCAGCCTGTTGGCCATCATCAAACCCCAAGCCCCAGAAAGAAAGGGAAGATTGCCTTGGATCCATGGGCAGCTTCTGGATGCGGCAGTGCCTGAAGCCCACAGACGTCCCAGCTCTTGGAACCTATTCATTTTTACAGCTGAGATTTTCCTTCAGTCATAACAGACCCAAATACCTCCACTGTCACTTGCTACTCAGGGTTAGTGTGCCAAGGGCCACGCTGTAAGTGTGTATGTCTGTCAGATGGACACCATGAACAGGTACATGAGCTTCTGTTTATTTGCTTGTGGCCTGCAATGGTGTGCACCTGCAGGCTGGAGGGACTGGGAGTATGGTGAACAGTAAGGTATGAACCAGGCACCCCAGGCCAGCCCTCAGTCCTTCTCCTCGCCATGGGTGATGATATGTACCAAGTTCTTGTAGTCTAGATTGCCAGTGACATCAGGAGGGAAAGCTGTGAACATCTGATCAATCTGTAAGGAAAACAGACAGGCATGGTGCTGAGACGCTGAGGACAGTGGGGCAGATTGGAAAGGACCCTGTCCCCCACTTCCTGTAGCAGCTGCAGCCATGCCTAGAGAATAGGGTTGCAGACCCAGAAGATCCAGTCCCCAACTCCCTGGGGACTCTGCCCAGGCCACCTTCCTGACCCCACTTCCCTCTCTGTCTTCCTGAATCCTTGCTAGCCCCAACCCTGCCTCCCTAAGGGCATCCTCTGGCCCCTTCCCCCAACCCTGCAGAGGTGCTGGGCAGGTCAGGCTGGAATGTGAGAGGGTCTGGTGGGAACCGGGGCTGGATGCTGGGATGTGACCAGCTCTTGGGGCCAGCTGGATGTGGCCACATGGCCAGAGAGGTCATATTCTGTGAGGGAAAATAAAAAATCTAAATTGTTCTTTTACGTGCAGCTTCTCCATTTAAAAGTATTGGATGAACCCGAATGGTGACACAGGCCTCGGCACTTGGGAAGCAGAGGTAGGAAGATCAGGATTTCAAGGTCAACCTAGTTAGGTAGCAAGTTCCAGGCCAGCCAGAGCTACATAAGGAGACCCTGTCTCAAAGGGGACACCCAAAAAATCAGTATTAGATGCTTATTATTATTATTATTTTCTCTACCTCTTGCAGTTCTGGGGATGGAACCCAAGGCTTCTTGCATGCCAGGCAAGTGTTCTACCACTGAGTTACAGGCCCTGCCTTTTAAATTTTAATTTTTCAGTAGGGTCTCACTAAGTTGCCCGGAATTAACTTACTCTGTAGCCCAGGCAGGCCTTAACCTTACAATCCTCCCACCTCCATTTCTCTACTCCTGGGATGGCAGGCCTGCAACACCGGACCCAGCTGGCTTGGGCTTGTGATAACCCAGGGACACTGCCCTAGCCCCATGATGGCATCATGTACTGGTTAACCTGTGCAAGCCTCACAGTGTGTGTGGCTGGATTCTCATTCTCCCTTTACAGATGGGGAAACTGATGCATGGTGAGGTTAGGAGCTTGTCCATGTCTGATGGGATAAGAGCTGGTTCTCTCCATGTGGGGCTGGTGATCTACAGCACAGGTGACACAGAGCCCCTAAATGGGGACCAGGGTGGTGGGGACATCGGGAACCCCATACCTCTTCCTTAGAGAACCTCTCAGCCTGTGTGGTCAGCATCTCCCGGACGCTACAGGGGAGGAAAGCAGAGTTGCTGATAGATGCTTGAAGTAGACAGCAGGGACACCCCCCACCAGAATCTACTTACTAATCAGCCTTCAGTGACCCTTTGCCTTCTGGGTCAAACACCTTGAATGCATTGAGGATGGTCTCCTCTGGGTCTGCCCCTGCAACAGAAGGTGCACTCAGCCATCTGCAGGGGCTGGAGCTCCAGGGGCACCAGCAAGCAGACCCAAGTCCCCCAGAGCCAGAGGGTCAGGGCAAGGCTACCTCAGAAGGAGACCTGGGTTTTGAAAGAGAAGGCCAAGGGGGCTGGAGAGATGGCTCAGTGGTTAAGAGTGTTTGCTACTCTTGCGGAGGCCCAGAGTCGGGTTCCAAGCACCCACATTGGGCAGCTCACAACCACCTGTAACCCCAGCTCCAGGGGATTCAATGCCTTCTTCTGGCCTTCATGGGCATCTGCACACATATGGTAGACACAAGTGATATTGTGAATGTTCTATACTTGAAGGCACTCACATATAGAATGCTTACCAAGCATAAGGTATTTGGGGGATAAAGACATCAAACAGGGCTGAGGATGTAGCTCATCTGATAGAGTGTTTGCCTAGCATGCACAAGTCCTGCAGTCAGTCCTCAACATAAAATAAAAACAGGTTTGGTAGTCTTATAATCTTAGCACTCAGGAGGTAGAAGCAGAAGGGTCAGAAGTTCAGGGTCTTCCTTGGCTAGATAGGGAGTTCAAAGCCAGCCTGGAATACATGACACCCTGTCTCAAAAAAAAGAAAGGAAGGAAGGAAGGAGGGAGGGACGGAGGGAGAGAGGGAAGGAAGGAAGGAAGGAAGGAAGGAAGGAAGGAAGGAAGGAAGGAAGGAAGGAAGGAAGGAAGGAGGGCTGAAAAGCTTCTAAATACAGCATGAAAGTCCTGCTCTGCAACCTGCAGGCCAGGGCCCTCCAGCAAGTGGCTTTCTGTCTCTGAGCCTCAGCTCCCCACCATGGCCTGAGCTTAGAGTAGAGCTGTCTCCCAAAGGCTCTGAACTGTGCCAGTCCCAGACGCAGATCAGCTGAAAGCTGGGTAGAGGACTTGGGAGAGCACCCCTGCTGGAAGGGGCCCCTGCTGGAGTGACACCCCTACTGAGTAATATTCCCTGTCCCTACTGGCGGTGCCCCCACTGCTGGAGTGACACCCCTACCCCTGCTGGAGGAGTCCCCTGCTGAAGAGTAGGCCCTAGTTGCTTCTATGCTGTTTTTCAATGGGCCCTTGTTCATTTAGGAGCTGCCTACCTTCTGCCCATCCTGTCCCTCCTAGTGCTTAATTGATATGCTGTTTTTCAATGGGCCCTTGTTCATTTAGGAGCTGCCTACCTTCTGCCAATCCTGTCCCTCCTAGTGCTTAATTGATACCCAGAGGTGAACCACACACACACACACACACACACACACACACACACACACACACTCACAAGCACACACGTAAGTTTACCTTTCAGCTTCTCCCCAAACATTGTCAGAAACACAGTGAAGTTTATGGGACCCGGAGCCTCCTTGATCATCTCATCGATCTCCTCGTTTTTCACATTCACACGTCCTAGCAGGGAGACACAAGGACTCAGAGCTGGGAGAGAACAGCCGTCAGCATGTGTTGTCATCATTGGAGGTAGTGGGGTCAGAGATGTTCCAGGGATATTCTCTAACACAGCCAGCCAACAACTGATATTCAGTGGACTGGTTAGAATAGTGTCTCAAGACAAGATGTGTCTCAGTGGGTAGAGTGCTTGCCGAGCCCAAGGCACAGGTTCCGTCCCCAGCACTGCAGGATAAAGTGTGGCTATGCACTGTCATCCCAGCACTGGGGAGGTGGAGGCAGGGGGATCGGGAGTTCAAGGTCAAGGTCACCCTTGGCTACATACTGAGATGAAGGCCAGCCTGGGCTACATGAGACCCTATCTTATAAATAGAGGGAGGGAAGGAGGGAGGGAGGGAGAAGGAGAGAGAGAGGGAGAGGGAGAGAAGTTGTTTCAAAGGAAAGCATACCAACATTCGTACATACTGAGATGAAGGCCAGCCTGGGCTACATGAGACCCTATCTTATAAATAGAGGGAGGGAGGGAGGGAGGGAGAAGGAGAGAGAGAGGGAGAGAAGTTGTTTCAAAGGAAAGCATACCAACATTCAGAGACCGAACACTTCTTTCAAGTTTGTCCTAAAGGCCAATGGCAGCCGTGCTATTTCTCTAGAGAATGACCGTCCCTCGGCCTTCTCTGATGTCCCCCACCCCAAGTGTGGGAGGTGGGAGAAGACATTTGCACTCAGTGCCTCATACCCAGGGCAGCGAACGTGTCCCTCAGGTCATTCTTGTCAATGAAGCCATCTCTGTTCTGGTCCATGATTGTAAAAGCCTGTGGGGAGGGTTGCTGTTCAGCCCAAGACAGGGCAAGGGCAAGAGGTTAGGCCAAGGGCAGGGAAGGGGCTCCTGGAAACTTCGGGGAGCTTGAAGGACATTAGATTGACTCAAGAACTGGGAAAGGTTCAAGTTCCTCAAACTATAGTCTCACTGTTAAGTTCACACCCAGAGAAATGAAAAAAATGTCCCCATAAAACCCCATCCATGGGCCAGCTTAGTAGTTAAGAGTCTGTAATCTTGCAGAGGGCTTGGGTTCAATTCCCAGCACACACATCAGACCTGTAACTCCAGCTCCAGGGAACCTGATGCTTTCTCTGGCCTCCACTGGCACACACATGTATACACAAAGACACACATACACTTATATTAAAAAATAAATAAAAATCAAATCTTTTTAAAAACAAAAAACTTCTCCAGAGCATTGTAGATGATGAGAACCCCAGGCCAGGTATGCCTTAACATCCTTCAAGAGAGGAAGGAGAAGGCAAGTGAGGTTGGCGCCCACAGTGAAGTATGATACCACCCCGGAAAACAAGGGTCTTCTGAGGCTCTCAAAGCCAGGATGAACCCTGAGGGCAGAATCTGAATGCCAAGGAGGCTGCACTCGGGAGATTGCACCTTACACAGCAGCTTCTGTGGTGTGTACAGAGTGGGCAAGGCGGCCTGGAGAGGGGCCACTGGCTGCTGGGGTACAGGGTGTGAGGGGAGGATGGGACGCGATCTCTGTCTGTTGTTTCTTCTGGGGCGGCAGAAGTACCCTGAGATTAAGCAGTGGTGATGAGAGTGAAATGGTGGCACACGCCTCTAATCCCAGCACTTGGGAGGCAGAAGCAGGTGTTTCTTTGTGAGTTCAAGGCCAGCCTGGTCTACATAATGAGTTCCAGGACAGCTGGGGCTACAAGGAGACCCCATCTCAAAAAGACAGAAAAAAAAAATCCTCAGATTTCATCACTCAACATAAAAAGACTTTTCTACAGGAACTGTGCTGCTAGGAAACTCAGATTGTTTTAAAGCTAAAGAGAGGTCTCCTCCAGCTTCTAGCTTCAGGCCTGCGCTGCCTGGAAGGGTGGCTGGTGTCTTTCCAGTAGGTTCCCAAGGCCCCTGTGTCACAAACCAGGCATCTCAGCTACTAGCAGCAGCCTCCCCAACCCTACCCCCCACCCACCCCCCAACCCCAGGCACACAGCAGCTGGTCTCCTTCCCAGGATGGGGCAGGGTGAGGGCAAATAGATGGGAGTCTACTGCTTCCTGGATGGTGGCAATTTCAAGTTAGGACATGACATCCCATCCCAGGAATTCCCCCCTCCCTAGTGACCCAAGGGAGGCTGCACTCCTGCCTTCTGAACATTAATGGACAAAGTCTGCCCAGTCCCATCTAGAAGCTCCCCCACAAGAGCAGGTGGGAGTGGTGAGCACTGGGCTCCACTGGAACCTGACTCTGAGCCTGTCCTTCCTGGCTGTGGACAGGCCTGCCCTTCCCTCTCTAGCAGGTAGAAAGGAAAATCTCCACTGTTAGCGCTCAGGCCCAGCAGCCCAAGGCAACAGGAGATCAGGCAAGAGAGGAGAAGCCCAGGACCTGAGGACCAGAGGCTCCATGTGGTCCTCCCTCCATCCCTCCTTTCCTCTGTTCTCTCTCTCTCTCTCTCTCTCTCATCTCTATCATCTCCATTTCTATCTCTCTCCTTCCCATTTTCCTCACACTCCTTGGGCTCCAGACACTAGCAGTTCAGCTTTTGGGAATTCCCACCGAGGCACAGCCCTCAGAGGCGAGTTCTCTGTATCACACAAGCAGTAACACCACCAGCTGAGCGGTCAGGACACAGGTGACCAAAACCCTGGTGGAAACTACCCTGAGCCAAGATTTCCCGTGGCCAAATAGCTGTACAGCATCGACTGTTTACTTTTCTGGAAAATTCCCTACATTTCAACAAGGAATGTGCTTTTGGGGGGATAACTGGCAGAAGATACGAAAACCAAATATTTCTTTTGGGGTTCACACACGGTTTGGGTGGGACTGGCCGTGTGAGGGAGGTGCAGGTGGTTCCTCTGGGCAGGTGTCCCTGTGTCTCTCCTGGGGACCCTACCACACCAACCTCTTTGAACTCCTGGATCTGGGTCTGTTCAAACATGGAGAACACATTGGAGCTACCGCCTTCTAGCCTCTTCTTGGCTTTCTTTGGTGCCTGGGGAAGAAGCGTGCATTAGACATGGCAGAGGCTGGGATCCGCAGATGCTGGCATCCAGAGAAGCTGTGGACCACAGAGGCAGGACCATAGGGAACCGGGTTCTGCTGCCCAGGCCAGCTCTGAGATTACAAAACAGCAGGAAGCCTCCAACACTGTGTTCATCATCCAGTTCTCATCCCTGCTTCACAGAGGCTCAGAGAGGTTAGGACTTAACCGCAGCTCATGCAGCCACTGAAACTTGTTCAGTCTGTGTCTATAGCCACTGTCCCACTCTGAGCCCCAAGCGGGGGGATGCCTGCTAAGGAAAGGGGGCAGACGCTGAACCCAAACAATACAAGAGAAACTCTTTTACATTTGCAGTTCAAAAGGTGAAAACAGATTCTTTTCCTGGGCTTCCTGAATGAAAGAAACAAATTACAATTTGATCCTTAAAAGCCTACAATCCCATGTGGCAAGCCCCAGGAGTTAGAGTTATCGATTCTTGGAGAAGTCAGGAAGAAAGCCATAAAAAGCCAACTCTCTTAGTCCTGGGGAGCTGTTGTTATTTTGATCCTTTGGGGTTATTGATTGGGGTCCCTCTATGTGCCTGGCACCTTATGTCCTCAGGGCTGAGGACCTTGCAAGTGCTTCCCTCCCCTTCCACTAGGGTCCTTGTAAGGAGGTCTCCTTCCCACCCAGAATCTTCCCTTTAGGGTCCAGGGCCACTCACCATGGTGGTGGGAGCTGGCTGCAGCCTTGGGAAAATTCAACACGCTGGCTGGCCTGCCTCTGAAGAACAATAAATACCTCTTGCTTGGGGTTAAAAATAACCCCATGACCACTTTTGGCCACCTAACCCCCCACCCCCACCCTATGCCAGTTCTTCTGAAGTAAAAGCCGCTCACTGATTGCCATAGCCCCATGACACGTGAGACCCAAAAATGCCTTCAAGGTTAAAGAGACAGAGGCTGGGGTGCAGCCTAGGAGAGAGACATGCAGTGTGCTCCCTGGCTGGCCTGGAAGAGGTGTGGGGGAAGGGGGAGGCCGGAGGGAGCATTCTGCACCATATCCAGTCATCTTGTACCCCAGGGCCTTTGCATCTGCACATCTCTCCATCAACCAGATAGGTGACTTTGTCCTGTCTTTGTCCAATGTCATTCACCTCTTGTCCTTCACGTCCCTTCCTTTCTTCACCCCCCCAGGGTTCATTGCTTCTAAGCACACAGTGTCTGTTCGCTTGCTACTTATTTTGTTCTGGTCTGGACAGTCAGCTCATGAGGGTGGGGTCCTCTTGGCTGTCCCCCTGTCCCTCAGCTCCCAGCTCCTGCTCTGCACACTGAAACTTCTGGGCTGCACACCCTTGTTGACCAACTGAAGAAACAACATGCAGCTCACACTCATATTTGTCTCCATCACCCTGAGGGTGAGGCCACCTTATCAGTTGTGCACCCACCTTACAGATACGGGAAAATGAAGCTCTGAGAGGCAAGATGAGCTACCCAGGGAACACTGGTAGAGTACAGCTGGGCGCAGGAGTGGGACCAGTTTGCCCTGAAAGAGCCTTGAAAGAGCCTTGGAGAAACGAGCTTGAGGCTGGGATGTGGCTCCACTGGTAGAGTGCTTACCTAACATGCAGGAGGCCCTGGGTTTGATCCCCATCACCACCTAGGCTGGTGGCTGACACCCATCCTGTGACTCCCCCTCCAGACCCTCCATGAGATCCCCAGCTCTTCCCTGCTTAGGAGATTTCTGCAGCCTAGAAGTGCCACTGAGCCCAGAGAACCAGAAGTCAGAGAACAGAGCCCTGGGTGAAACAGAGGAACTTCTAGAGCAATCAAGAACAAAGCAAGAGTATCACTTTCCTACTGCTGTTATAAAAATACCACTGTAAACCATGGGCTCAAGAGCAGCCAGGCTCACTACCCAGCAGGGCTGGAGGTCCGAAATAGAAAACACCAACGGCTGCATCCTGCTGCGGTTCTAGGGACAAATCCCTTCCTCCATCTCTTCCAGCTCCTGGCTGTTGCCAGCATTCCTCGGCTCACACCCTCATCAGTGCAGCCACTGAATCTGCCTCTCTGGCTGCTTGGTGTCCTTCATGAATTGCTATGAGAATGCTGTGACTGCACCAGTCCCCTGGGGGGAACCCAGGCCATCACCATACCCCAAGATCCAAAACCAATCCCCCCAAAGAAACAGAGGTCAATTTTGTCTCCAAAGACTGTTTAGCTATGGGCAGTCAGGGGCTCCAGGGACAACAGCATCTTCAGGGAATCTTTCTAGTGCCTTCCATACCTCAAGAAACAAGACTCATGCTGGAGATATGGCTCAGTGGTTAAGAGCACTGACTGCTCTTGCAGAGGACCCAGGTTCAGTTCCCAGCACCCACATGGCCTCCGAGGGCATTGCACTTTGTGTGTGTGTGTGTGTGTGTGTGTGTGTGTGTGTGTGTGTGTGTGTGTGTGCAGGCAAACGCTCATACAGAGAAATTTTTTAATTAATAATTTTTTAAAAAGAAAAAAGACTCTGGGGGCACAGGTGGAGAGCTATGAGATGGTAGTCACAATGATAAAGTTTAAGTATGTTAAAATGCATGGAAAAATAACCAAAGAACAAAACAAAACCAATCCGCCCCAAAAAACAGGCCAATTTTGCTGAGTAGAGACTTTTTTGAAAATTACCCGCTCAGGAGCTGGGGAGATGGATCAGTAGGCAAAGTGCTAGCTGTGCAAACATGATGAACCGAGTTCAATCCCCAGCACCCACATAAAAGCCAGGAATGGGGGCTGGAGAGATGGCTCAGTGATTAAGAGCACTGGTTGCTCTTTCAGGGGACCTGGGTTTGATTCAGATCACCCACATGGCTGCTAACAACCATCTGTAACTCCAGTTATAGCCTCTTCTGACCTCCGTGGGCATTGCATGACACAGGTATACTTACATACATGCAGGCAATACATTCATACACATATACACATTTAAAAAGCCAAGAATGGACAATGTGAGCCTGGAACCCCAGCAATGGGGAGAGGGAGACAGGGGCTCACTGGCCAGCCAGTCTAGCTTTAAAACAGTGAGCCCCAGATCTTAGAAAGAAGAGAGAGAGAGAAGAGAGAGAGAGAGAGAGAGAGAGAGAGAGAGAGAGAGAGAGAGAGAGATCCTGTCTCAAGGCTGACCTTCAGCTCCCATATGCACGAGCACACAGGTGAGCACACACATGTATGCACACACAAAGTATCCATTAACAATTTTAAAAGATGAGAAGAAAAATGTGGGTCATATCTACAGATCCAAGACTAATTTGAACCCACTTCTAAGAACTTTGATTTAGGTATTAATTAGAGACCTATTGTATACAAGACCTGGTGGACATCAGGCATCAGGAATGCAATGCGGGGGTCTATGTGTGTCCCCCAGAGACTCACGGGTTAGAAATTCAGTCCCTAAATTTAAATTAATTTTTATTTTTTTCTTTGACAGCACTAGGAGGTGGAGGCTGTGGGAGGCAACTGAGCAGGGGTGGCTGGGAGGGCATTTCATGCTTAAGAAAAGAAGAAGCCATTGTGTGGGCTTGCAAGCTCTGGCTATTTGATGCCCATCATCCCCAGCAGCCTCTAGCCCTGCAAGAAATAAGCTTTTTATCTTTGTAAATGATGTGGTCTGTGGTGTGTTATAGCAACACCAATAACCAAGTCAGAGGGGATTAACTTTGGGACATGTGGGAATGTACACTCACTCCACTGTATACAGTACAACCATCTTCACGTTTGAAAATGTAGCAGGACATTAATATTTATTTGGGGTTTTGTGTTGCTGTGGTTGTTTGGGGGAATTTTAGGGGGTTGTTTGTGTTTTGGGTTTTTGTTTTGTTTTGTTTTGTTTTAAGTCTGGACCTCACATAGCTCAGTCTGGCCCTGGATTCACCATGTATCTGAGGATGACGTTGAGCTCCTGATACCACCTTCTGCCTCCACCTTCTGAGTGCTGAGATAATCTACTGAACATTTTTGCTTTTTTAAAAACCTAATTATTGACGGCGCTGGAGAGATGGCTCAGCGGTTAAGAGCACTGACTCTCTTGCAGAGGACCCGGGTTCAATTCCAGCACCCACATGGTGGCTATGAACTGTCCTTAACTCCAGTTCCAGGGGAATCCAAAGCCCTCTTCTGACCTCCACGGCATTGCACGACACGGGTGCACTCACATACACGCAAGCAATATACTCATACACATAAAATAAAAATAATAAATAAAATATTTTTAAAACCTAATTATTGATTTAGTCTATTAAAGAAGCAAACACACAAACCAAACAACCCCCCCAAATGCCAAACTTTAGGGAAATTCTAATGAAACCCCAAAACACCCTTAGAGCTTCCAGTCCTGACCTGTGTGCTAAAATTTGAGAACATGGGTTACAGGAACAGCTGGTTCCAGCTTCAATCCAAATACTGGGCTAAAAAATGGCTCTTGAGAACAAAATGATGGACAGATGCAAGAAATGTTCCATCCACAGAGTCAGCGGGCCACACAGAGGCAGTCAGCAGAGTGGAAAATGACTGTGGACTGAAGGCTCCCACTCTCCCAGCTCAAAAACAGGACAGGCAAACAATACACCAGTGCGCGTCCTGACCAATCACGAGGTCAGCTGATGTGGGTCCAGGCAGAAGGACATGGTCAGGTGGAGACTCAGCCTGCTCCTGAACTTCCTGGTCTCTAGGGAGATGAAGAAGACAGAGAACTCCATCTCACAGACCCCAAGTGTGACAAGGTAGCCATCACCTGCTAGACTGGAGCCAGGCACATATTTGCTTTTGATTCTCCTTGCCTGAACCCAGCCTTCTACCTCAAGGCCTTGGCGTCAGCCAGCTGTGTGCCATCAGGCAGGCTTCTTGCCCCCTCTGAGCCTCAGTTTTTTCATCTGCAAAGTAGACCTGATGATGGTATCCCCCCTCCCAGGGTTGTCTTGAGGATGAAATCAGAGGGTGTATAATAAGTGCTCAGGAAGTGTCAGCATCGTGATTATTTTGTGAGTAGTGGCCTCCCATGAGGGTTAGGAGACTTTCTAACTCTTCTCCCTGGCCTGGAAACTGGTCTGATCAGATGGGGCAAACTGGGAGGCAGGAGGACCCTCTTTCCACTAGCTATTGACCATGCTGTGGGCACCACAGAGGCCCAGGGTCAAAGCCTCTGACTAAACTTGGACCTGCACCTTCGCCAGGCTCTGCTTTTCAAAGAGGGTTGTGGAAGAGGGGACAGGAATGCCACCTTTGGACCCTACCTCGGGGCCCTGCCTGGCAGCCCACAGCTGCTGGGGTCTGTTAAAAAAAAATAGTGTTCATTTCTGAATGATATAGGAGGGCGGCAGGGTGGGGACCTTGAGGAAAGATGGAGGCTGTCACTCCCAGCTTTCGCAAAAATAAACAAAAATTAAAAATAAAGCAAAGGTGGAAACAAGACAGAATTTGGGATAAACCTTAAGTAATGGGGGACTTTGGGGAGCAAGGATTGTCCACGACTTTCCTTTATCGGTTTGTCTGCTCCCATGTTTGCTTGCGACAGTTCCACTATCCTTGAACTTGTGATTCTCTTGCTTCAGCCTCCCAAGAGTTGGAATTACTGGCTTGTACCACCAAACTTGGCCTGGGGCAGATTTTGATCATCTTCTCTGCAGGTGCCGTCCCTTGTCAGCTGCCAGAATTGAGTCTAAGCCTTGTGGTCCTGCAGTCAGAAGCAAGGCCTCTTGTCTGTGTGACTAGTTTGTAAAATTCTCAGCAGAGCCTGACAGTCATGAGTGACCAGCAGGAGAGCCAAGAGTTGGTCTGTCTGCTATGGAGGTAGGCCAGGCCTGGAAAGGCACCCACAATAGGTCTCTGATCTCTGGTAGTGGCCTCCCCATGGCCAGGCAGCTCTGGGCACAGGGCCCTTTAAGGAGGGTGGAGGAGTCAGCATATCTGTAGAACAAAGGCCCTGCTTGCTCAGAGCTGTGGCTGATGACCTCTGTCACCAAGGATAGTCTATCTCCTCCTGTCAGGGTGCCTGAAGTGTCAGTGACAGCCACCTCTCAGGGAGGGTGGCCTCTCCAGCCAGTCAGAGGGGAAAAGGGACGATAGGCCAGTCCCACACCAAGCACCACTGGGTGCTAAGCTATGTGTCTCAGCTTCCTCATGGGAGATGGGTACATTCTAGAATGTTCCTGGGCACCCTTGTGCTCAGGTGACATCAGCACTCCCTGCTCCCAAGCACTGGCTGGACACAGAGGTCCTACAGTGTATCTTCTCTCTCCTCCTCCTCTAAACCTTTTTCTGCTATAACTTTACCAGTCCCTCAGGTACTCAGAACCAAACCCCCAGCCATCTTGATTCTGCCCTTCGAGAAACCGTTTCTATCCCATCCCACAATGCCTTGCAAATCCATTTCCCTCCCATCCTTTACTACTTCCTGCCTACAGTAGCAGCTCCCACTTGGTCTGGGGCCTCTCCTCTCTCACCATCCTCCCCCACACTTCACACACTCCAACTTTTTCCTCCTTGTTTCACTCTAATTCCCCTCTGAAGACTCTAGAACCCTCACTGGCTCCTCACTACTATGGGAGGAAGTCTCCCCTCCTTGACCTGACAGTTTAAGATCACTTAACACTTGACCTTGACCTACCAGAGTGGTGCAATCATTGAAAGCTGCGGTTCCAGGTCACTTGCTTAACTGTGGGGATCTGGACAGATGACTTCACCAGATTAAAACTTGGCGTCTTCACCAAATGAACAGACAAATGATGGTGCTAGTCTTAGAAGAAGGTTGTTAAACGATAGTCATTAACAGTCATCGTCACATGCTTTCTGTATGCTGTGACTGCAGATGCTGGTACACCTCTAGACATGGAGGGGAGGGAGGGAGGGAGGGAGGGAGGGAGAGAGAGAGAGAGAGAGAGAGAGAGAGAGAGATTGCTGCTCTCTAGTTTCCAGGCCCCTGTTTCCCATTCCTGGCTGGTGACACTCAGCTCTTGGGGACAGATGCCCTGAGCTAGCAGAATTCAGATGGTCATGCTGTGGGTCCTAGGAAGGACAGTACAGCTTATGCTGGGTCTTCAGGGATGAGCAAGAGCTGCCCACCGTGGCACCCCCAGCCCATGCACAGTAGCCTTCCTACATTGAGGTCCCAAAGACAGCCAGTGGTGGTTACCAGTATGCAGGTACTGTGCCCAGGCTCCGTCTCATCTCATTTTACCCCAAACTACACCATGAGGCAGACGTTCAGCTCAGACCCATTTTTCAGATGAAGAAACTGAAGGTCAGAGAGGGTCACACTTCCCTTCCAGCTGCTCAGCTAGCATCTGCCTCAGACAATGCTGGATTAGACCCAGGCTGCCCAGGGTCCCTCTCTGTGCACCTCCCTCAGGCCTGGGATCCAGCTGTCCCCATTGTCCCCCACTCCAGAGAGGCAATCCCAAGGAAAGTCAGACACTGTCTGTGGCTCTTTGTCCTGTGGTATTTTCAGCCTGTGGCCTCGGGCAGAATCTCAAGAGATCTGTTTTAACAGTGCCCTTGAGATGCCCGAGGCCAGCTGTCATGACATGCCTGGCATTCCAGGGCATTGTCCGCTGCTGGAGACCCTGACGCCAGCGACAGCTGCAAGCTGATCTCCTTGCAGCCCCTTCCCTGAAGAACATGGCAGAATGACAGCCCTGTGGGTCCCTGTGCCCTCTGATCTATATAAAGTGCTCCAGCTCCTCAGTCATGCGACCCGGGGTCACAGGGTGAAGGACCTATCAACACCTATCAGTGCATCATCAGCCAACACTTGGCTCTGCAGGCCTCGGGGCCAAGGACACAAGTCAGTGGATTGTCTCTGTGGACACTGGGGACAGCGCCCCCTGGCTCTGGAGGGATGCGGAGCAGCCTTTGTACACCCCCCAAGCTATGAGCAGCTTTCCTTTGTCACTGGGCCACACCAGAAAATCCCCCAGACACGGCCAGCCGTCCCCGGGAGGAAGAAATGAGTGGCTGCCGGTGTCCCTGATGTCACAAACCTGCTCCCCAGGCTTGCATGCCATGTTGGGTGGCAGCCGAAACCCCTGCTTACTCTTAAGGACCACATCCCCACCCCATGTCACCATGTCTAAAAACTCAGCCTTATGTTGCTATCAAAAGTCAAGATACCCCCTTGAAGTTCTGTGGCTCTCCTGTGAGCCACCCTGTCCCCCCCCTTAGATGACGCACAGCCACCACCAGTCACCCTCTGCATTGAGAGACCTCCACAAAAGCCACCAATTGTGCACAACATGGCTGCTGGTCTCTTGGAACACAGAAGCCCTGGCTGACTTCTTCCTTGGCTGACCATGTATCCTACTCCCTCAAGGACTGCAGTCCCCTGTGGACAACCTGCCCATGATAGGGACCAGGCACACCTTGGCCTCCATTGCTTCCTCCAGTGGACAACACATAGTAAGTACTCCATGGAAGTTGAATGACTGAATGACAGTCTCTGGTAGTGTTCTCTGCGTTCTTAGTCATACCTTAGTCAGTCTGCCTCCTCTAGAATTTTCCAGGGTTCTTGTTCTTGAAGTGCAGTGGTGATCACCATAGACGAATCCCATGGAAGTGAGGTTCAGGGTTGGGGCGGATGGACAGCCGAAGTCATTCTGCCTTAGGTAAAAGCTGGACAGAAACAGCCGAGTTGACTGGCCCCATGTTCCTGGGGTGTGCTGGATGGGGGATGGGAGGCTGAGGGGCCAGGGGTGACTTGCTGAGACCTCTATATCCCAGCCAGCGACAAGGGTGTTCTACAGAGGACAAAAATAGATGGGACAGAGAAGAGAGACAGAGGCTGGAATGAAGGTGAGTGGCCAGCTGAGGCCTATGGGGTGACTCATGAGTTTCCGAAGGGAGCTGGCCCCGGGCAGGCCACAATGCTGAGACTGTCCCTATGGTGAGCCGGGGAGCGTTTAGACAAAGGGAGGGCACCAGCTTCTTTTGATCCTGAACAGAAAACTAGGACCCTAGAGTGAGTTGTGATGCCCGACTACTTTGTATCTGGAAGGAAACCACTTTCTCAGGGACTAGCTCAAGACACTACCTATTAAGCTACAGAGATGGCTTGGCTGGTGAAGTACTTAGCACACAAGCTTGAGCCTGGGTTCAATCCCCAGAATCCACATAAAAAGGCATGGTGGCCTTGTAAGCCCTGGGGAGGCCAAGACAGGACAACCTCTGGTACTTGCTGACCACCCAACCTAGTTGAATTGGTTTGTTCCAAGTCCCAGCTAGAGACCTTATCTCACAAAACAATATGGGACTGGCAAGATAGCTCACCAGGTAAAGGTGCTTGCTGACAGTTCTGACGACCTGAGTTCAATCCCCAGAACCAAGTTGTCCTCTGACCTCCACACTTGCCGTCTCTGTCTCTCTGTCTCTCTGTCTCTCTCTCTCTCTCTCTCTCTCTCTCTCTCTCTCTCTCTTTCTCGCTTTCTCTCTCACTCTCACTCTCTCGCTCTCTCTCACACACACAGCCTTATAAATAAAATGTAATAATAATAATCTTTTAAAAGGTGGATGATGCCTGAGGAATGGCCTCTGGCCTCCACATGTACATGTATGCACATACATGCACACACATGCATACATATGAACAGACACACACACACACCCCAACACTGTCCATTCATGTCATGAGCCAGAGCAAAGTACAAAGGCCAGTAGGTCCAGGGTAGACAAGGAATAATGTTTTCTCTTCCCTCCATAACTAAAATGTTGTTTGCCAAATGTATACAGAGGGACACTGTGCTGGGTAGCTTGTCAACTTGACACACCTGGATAGAGGGAGCCTCAACTGGAGAATTGCCTCCATTGGACTGGCCTGTGGCCATATCTGTGGGGCATTTTCTTGATTGAGGGATGTGGGAGGGCCCAGCTCACTGTGGGTGGTGCCACCCTGGGCAGGTGGGCCTGTGTTATATAAGAAAGCAGGCTGAGGAGGGGCCAGGGGAGCAAGCCAGTAAACAGCATTCCTCCATGGCCTGTGCTTCAGCTCCTGCCTCCAGGTTTCTCCCGTGAGTTCCTACCTTGGACTCCCTCAGTGATAAACTATGACCCAGATGTAAGCCAAATAAACCCTTTCCTCCCCAACTTGGTATTGGTCAAAGTGTTTTGTGGCAGCAATTGAAGGCAAACTAGAACAAATGCAAAGTGTTTCCATCACCACAGAGCGTGTCGCCTGCCACAGATTCCTGTTGCAGGACTTCTCCAAGTTTTAGCAATAATAACGACCATTTGTTGAATAATTGTCTCTCTTGAGCTTTGTGTCAAAGTGGTATTTTAATAGTCTCACAAGTCCCTGTAATAACCATGAGACAGAAGAGGCAGAAACCCAGGACGATGGCAAAGCCAGAATTCAAACCAGGACCCCATGCTGAATCAGTTTCCACAGAGCAAATGGCAGCTGTAAAGGACAAATAACTCCCCTTTGGGGTGGGGCTTGGCCATGGCTGAGCATCTAGAAGCTTCTGGCTTTCCCCTCTGTCTTCCCTCCCTACTAGCCTACTCCTGGTGAGACACTGTCCAGGTTGGTCTGTCTCTGCTTCTCCTTAATGGCACTTTCATTCTTCCCAGCACCAGCTGCTGTTCTGAATTAGGTATCTGGGTTTATTTCTGTGTGGAACACCTGTCTCCTTCCAGAACTCCAAGAGGGATGAGACCTGCCTGTTTTCACTTGTGAGCTCCAGGAACCTAGAACTGTGTTGGGGGGCATAGTACACGCTCAAGAAAAATCTAGCCCAGGAGCCCTTTAAGCCAGTCTTGCTTAGAAGTCTGGGTAAAAACTGGGCTTGAAATTCTGATTTTATGGAGAGGGTCAGCTAAAAGTAGACATGCTAAACACCAAGCCTGAAAGACTACAGAAAAATAGACCTTCTGGAAAGATCCCCCCGGGAGCTTGCCTTAAATAGCAGCTGTCATTTCTCAAGACCAAATCTTTCTCCAGAAAAAGCCCATTCCTGGCTGGAGACCATTACTGCCTGGACTCAGGTCCCTCAGGCTGGAAGCTGGGCCATGCTCCCTTTTCCGCTCCTCTTCCAGCTTAAGACAGCCCCCTGCAGGCCCATGTCCTGTCCACCACATAGCCCGGTACACTGGCCATCCCCATCCTCTCCAGCTGCCCAGGTTTCAGGGCTGTGGCAACCATGGCATTCTGAAGTCAGCCAGCAGGGGGCAGTGCTGTACCAAGCTCTGAGCCTCAGCCTGCAAGAGAAGGGCTAGGCTGGGAAGAGAGGGAAGGCCTGTCCCACCAATCCTCCAATGATGCCACAGCAGGCTCACCGAGCTGGGGCTTCTGGGAGTCAGAGGTGTGAGGATGGACCCAAGTCCACGCAAGAAAAAGCATCTGCTGGTTGGTGCAGCCATCGTACCTTCTTTCCTTCCTTCTCGCTCCCTCCCTTCCCTCCCTCCCTTCTTTCCCCCCTTCTTTCCCTCCCTCCTCTCTCTTACTTACACAAATGAGACCCAGGTTTTCTTCCTATTCTCTTCCTTCCTTTTTATTTATTTATTTTTACAAAACTGAGTGTACAGTTGTGTAACAATTTCTTCGCTCAGTGATCTGACAAGACAATCATTCCACATTAACAGTGACCCACCAGGTCAAGGGGCCATCTGGAGGGTGGCCCCAGTGTGTGGATGTTACACAGCCCAGGTGTTAAGCAGTGTCCAAGCCATATGGGACAGTTTTATATTGTCTTTGCTGTCTGCTGTTGGTTTTGGTGCTGGAGATGAAACCCAGGGCCTACACTCCAGACCCTCTGATGGTCTCTGGATTCAGGATTTGTTCCTAGAGGCACAATCCAGCAGGGGGGCCCCACTGTCAAAGCCTGAGGCCTTT